GGCTACAGTCCATAGGATTGCAAAGAGTCAGACACAACTGAGCGACTGAACTGAACTGAACTGAATCTTTTGATATTCTGACTACCTGGTTTTTGTTGCAAAACTCCTATATTGTATATACTGGCTCCTCCCTGAACTTTTTGGAGCAGTCTCTCAGACCTATCTGAGAGGCTGTCTCCTGGGCTTGATGTCCTTAGCAGGCCCACCGACTAAAATATATTTCTCAACTTTTACGTTGTACTTTTTTTTTTCAGTCGATACTATAATGGAAAATAATCTGAAAAAAAATCGTATATATAACTATATGAGTCACTTTGCTGTACATTGAAACTGGCATAGTACTGTAAATCAACTATGTTTCAGTAATTTTAAAAAAAGAGAGAGAAATCAAAAGGTGAATCAACTTTCAATAAGCCTTTGGCACCTACCCAATCTATGTTTAAATTCTTTAACTGTTGCATTACCAATGGACTCATTAACCTCTAAATGCCAGAAGAGAAAACGCCAATTTACCTTAAATGTTTAGAATGTTATTTTTTCCCACAGAAAGAGTACCATACCCTTTCTTCAATAGAAATCCAAGTTTTCAGTTAACTTGATTGCTGATTAATATGTGGGCAACAGAAAATACACTCATCAATATCTATCATGTGCCAAGCGTTAGGCCTGGCTCAGTAATATAAAGAATATGGTAAAATTATGTTCTCTTACAGTTTATTCAGAAAGCAAAGAACAGATTACATTTTAGTGTTAAGCTCACTCCCTGTGTCTTCTTATTTTCCTATTTTTGATTCTTCTTTTATAAAAATGTACTCAAATTCACTTAAGAAACACTTATTGATTTCACACTATGTGCTAATCATTTTTGATGCCAGACAGGCTCCTACCATTACGGATCTTTCATTCTAGTGAGGTGCTGTAGAGGGGGGCTGGGAGGGGGCGGCAAAATAAATGGAGTAACATGGAGACTGATTGGGGAGCTATTTTAATTGTGTGATCAGGGAAGGTTTCTTTGATATGATGACATCAAGGGCAACCACAAACAAGAAGTCATATGATCATCTGGAGAAATAAAGTTATTGAAAAAGTAACTGTGGTTGTAGAAGAAGGAATGATGATTGCAAAGGTCCCGAACCCAGAACCAGACTACCATGTTCTAGGAGCAAAATGAATATTAATTATTAATATTGATGACATTAAGGATCTATTAGGGACTATGATGATTTATAAGCCGAGTTCTCAGCCTGAGAGAAGCTCTGCAATAGAGACAGAAATGAGCAAAAAGATCACAACAGTGGCAGAACAACATTATAGTGACAGAATTTTGCACAAAGAGGTACGGAGGAGTTATTAATCCTCAGGGTGTATTTCAGGGAAGTCTTTGCAAAGGAGGTAATGTAAAAGCAGGATTTTGAACTATCAATAGTGTTGACAAGGCAGGAAGGCTGTGTGTGTCAGGGGCAAAGCATACAGGGAACTGTGAGTGCAAAGGAGTTTCCTACAGTGAATACTAAAATAGAAGCGAGGCTCAAGAGGACAGAGTCCAAGGCATGAAAGGGCCCGATATTCTGTGCATGATAGGAGATATCAAAAGCTCTAAGGAATGAACCACAGGATTGAATTTTAGATGGATCACCACAGACTGTCTCCCAAATATGTCTGTGGGAGAAAAAAATGGAGGCAGCGAAAAAAGATGGAATGAGGATAGTCACAGTTGGGCTCGGTAAGAAATAAAAGCGATCTGAGAGGTTTTCAGGAGTTAAACGGAGAGGGCTGACTGTTCACTGCTTAATCACCAAAAACTTTCAGTAGCTGGCTCTCAACGAATATTTGTATAGTTAAGAAATAAATGAATGGTGGTTGAAAAGTCATGAGTCGCGCCCTCCAACTTCCATTACTAGAAAACTTGGACGACTCGTTGAAGTGTGTCGTTTTAAACCCAACAACCCTATGAGGTAGGTCGTATTTCCATTTTTTAGCAGAGAAAAACCTGAGGTTCAGAGAGAGCCGGAATGTACCTTGCCTGAGGTTCCTATAACTAGTCAGAAGTTAGGCTCAAAAGTATCAGCCAAGTGCACATGTTTGATAGTTATTTGCTACTACTTAGCCTAGAGGCCCAAAGGAAGAAATGCACTACGTAAAGCCTAAAAGCAGAGAAAGCTAAATAGCCAACTCTCAACAGGGGATAAAAGGGGCTTCCAGAACGTTCCTGCTGGCCAGTCACTGGAAGATTACAGCGGTGCGTCACAGCAGCCTAAACCTTAGCCTCCTCCCGCGGGGTGCAGGGAGGTGGGCGGGGTCGGGTCCGCAGTGGTGGGACGCGCAGCCGCAGTGCAGCTCGTGAGCACCGCAGCCGCCGGTGGAGGGGAACGCTGCTTGAACAAGCGAAGGCGGACTACGCAGACAGACGCAGGAGTTCGCGTTCTTTCTGAGGCTGCTCGCCTTCAAACCGCGGCCGCCGGTGGAGGGGAACGCTGCTTGAACAAGCGAAGGCGGACTACGCAGACAGACGCAGGAGTTCGCGTTCTTTCTGAGGCTGCTCGCCTTCAGACTCCGCAGGGAGGTCTTGACGTCATTTCCTTCCGTAGGTCACCACTGCTTCCGGGTCGCGGTCATCTTGAGTCCGTATCTGGGTGACTTCTTGGCGGTCGTGTCGTTGACCGCTCCCCACCCCCAACCCCGCTGCGGTCCCGCGCGCCTCCCGCCTTCCCCTCCCCCCTCCACCACACTCGAGTCCCCTCCGGGCCTTCTGTCCCTGGTCGATCGGGCTCGGCGCGCCACCGCCCGCCGCCGCCGTCGTCGGGAGGTGGGTGAAATGACGCAGAAAGCCCTGTTCCGCCCCCCACCTACCCACTCACCCATTTCTGTGCGGCTGGCCGCTCCCCTGCGCCTTCCGCCATTTTTCCCGCCTGCGAGGGTGGGCCGATCGCGCTTTGGGCCTCGGGCTCCTGGGTGCCGCTGACCAGGGCTGGTGAGGGAGCGTGTCTGGGGGTGTGTATGGGAGAAATTGGTGGTGACGGATGTGTGTAGGTGTTGGAGGTGGGAGACGCAGTGGGTGGGGGATGGGGCGCAGGAATCGACGGTGGTGGTTTTATTCTTTGGGAGCAAGAGATTAAAATGATTTTGTGAAAAGGGGTTTTGTCAAACCTGACAATCTCTTTCTAGGTAGGATGCTGTTGTGAGAAGAGGATTTCGGTTTTTTTCTTTTGCGGTTGTTTTAGGAATTACGTAGTTTATTAAGGAATCTCCATCCATCCATGCATTGATTTACTCTTTTTCCCTAGTCAGGAGGTTGGCATGAATTAATAGAAGGCCCTCAGTGACAATTTACTGAATAAGTGAATTATGGAAGGGTCCCAGTTGCTCTCCTCTTCGCGTGTGAAGTTTCCCGTTTTCATTTAAATTGTTTTTAAGATGAGAATAAAGAATCCTATGTGAACACTGTGTACAGTACGTAGCTGTCTAATCTGCTGATCTCTTAAATCCGGAGGCATGGGTTAAAAATAATAATAAAATGTATGTTCTTGAAATGCTATGCGTTTTGTGTATCTCGTTTATTTTTCTAGGTCTCCATTTGGGGAGGGAGGAAAGAGGATACAGAATGTGCTGTTAGCTTCCCACCACAGGGAGAACAAAATGACGTCCTTGTTATTTCAGTTTTTTTTTTTTTTAAAGTACTGCTTTGTATAAGAGATTGTATGTTTCCTGGTGATTATTTCATTTTTTTAAAAATGTAAGCCCAGAAATGATTTGGAATTTCCTTCTCTATTTTGGTGAATTATCTTAATCGTTGGGCATATGTTTCGGAGAGGATGCTAACACAGGATAATGTGAAATATACCAGTCTCAGAAGGAAAAATAAGTCTTTTTTAAACATCGATAGCCTTTTGTATCTTAATATAACCAGCTGATAAGTAATTGTATTCATCTATTCTTCAATTACAGGACCTAATGAATCATTCTAAAATAGTTACTAGGTTTGTGACTTTTTAAGGCAACTTTTCAAGTACTCTAGATGTAGTTGTGTTTTGTAAATATTTGTTGGCTGGTTGCAATATCGACTAGTAATTTTACTGTGTTATATCTTGATTTATTTTGGCCAGTTGCAGTGATTTCTAATTCTTTTCATAAATGTTTTTGATGCAGGAAAGATGAATGGGAGGGCTGATTTTCGAGAGCCAAATGCGGAAGTTCCAAGACCAATTCCCCGTAACTATCAGTTAAATTATTTCTAATTAAAAGCACTTTTTATGTAGAGAAATTTTCATTGCCTTGAATAACTGTAGCCACTGGGCTGGCTTCATGACTACGTGACCTTTGCGTTGCACATGGACCCATTAATGGTCTACTCTTGGCATCGTTAAATTCCTAATAATTTGAACAGAGGGTCCCAAATTTTAATCTTGCACTAGACCCAGCCCATTTTGAAGCCAGTCTTGACTACATAGCTGGTAGAATACTGGCACTAACTTTATATTTGAAGTCAAAGTTTGTTAAAAGTTTACAATCCACTTATTCCATTACTTTATTATTTTTTTAATTATGTTAATGTTTAGACTAAGGTAGTTTTTTAGACTTAGTTTTTCTTCATGGGTGTTTTAACGTTTTACTGATTTTCCTTGGTAAAAAGACATAGGGGCTGATTACATTCCAACGGAGGAAGAAAGAAGAGTCTTTGCAGAGTGCAATGATGAAAGCTTCTGGTTCAGATGTAAGTTAAATTTTCTGATCAACAAGATTTGATCTTTAATACTTGAAATTATAATGACTTTGCATAGAAAGAATGGGCAGCTTTTTTACTTTGGTATGGTTATTGCTAAAAGAAGTTGGTTAAGGAAATAAAGTTGTACACATTTTATTTAAGCATTTAAAATTGAAATATAGTTGCTGTTTGATGTTAGTTTCAAGTGTACTCCATAGTCATTTGACCTTTGCATACATCATGAAATGATCAGAATTGTATGCATTTTAAAGTAATAATTTCTTTTTTCAAGATCATGAAGTATTTTTATTGACAATAGTAATAGCATTTGTTGAGTATACATGGGTTATGATACTATCTGGTGTTCCACGGCTGGTAAGCAGTGGTGTCTGGACTTGAAGCCCTGTCCCTCTGAAACTAGTTCATGATTCTACCCCTTAAATTTGTAACCGCTGTAGGATAAAAATTGGTTAGTTTCTGTTTTATTGATGTGTTATTACACTACAGCTTTTGATTTCTGACTAGAGATTTTGTACATGAAGATTTTAAGTACAGAGAATGGGGAAAGCAACACAAAACATAATTTCCCTTTGAGTAGAACCATGTTGCTTCTTCAAGAGGTCACTGCAGTCCTTTCAGATAAGGTAATTCTAGCAAAAAATAAAAACAAGGTGAGATTTTAGAAAAGGAGGGGGGAACAAATAATTATAAAGGATGTATATTTTCATCAGTCAGCCTGGCATTTGTGCATATAGTGTGTAAGGTACTATGCTTGGAATATGTTTTATGAGATAGTCTTTGTCCTGAAGTAGTTTTATGATGTACTTGAGACAAAACTACCTGGAGACACCTTGAGAAAGATTAAATGCATAACTGCAATAGGATTAAAAGATAAATTAGTTGGAATTGATTTAGCTATAAAAGGCTTTATTAAACAAATGAGACTTAACAACCAGTAGAACTTCAGGTAAATGAAGAATGGTGGGGGAGCATTTAAATGAACAAAATAGTGAACAAAGGCAAATTCTCTAATAGCTGGATCTCGTCTGGAGCCTTGAGTCTGAAGGGATTGGAGCAGAGGTCTTTACTTAGGGGTGGAAAATAAATATAATACCAAGGAGTTAAAGGTTTGCTTTATTACCTATTATATCTTCTTGGGGGCTTCCCAGGAGGTGCTAGTGATAAAGAACCTGCTTGCCAATGCAGGAGACCTAGGAGACGCAGGTTCAATTTCTGGATTGGGAAGATCCCCTGGAGGAGGACATGACGACCCACTCCAGTATTCTTGCCTGGAGAGTCCCATGAACAGAGGAGCCTGGTGGGCTACAGTCCATAGGATTGCAAAGAGTCAGACATGATTGAAGCAACTTAGCACATACCTGTGAGTTCTTGGGCCAAGGGGGTGATATGCTATTTATTTAAAGGAACATTAGTTAGCAGTGTGCAAAATGGGTTAGAAGGACAAGAAGGTGTACAACTAAGTTACATCTGCACAAACATGCAGGTAATGTAACAATCTACATGCTAGGGTTAGTTTAATGTGTGTGATACATTAACAGCAGTTCTCAATCTCTGCAACTGCTGAGAAAGTGTATGAATTCATATTTGTTTCATGCATCTTTTATAGGTTTTGTGAATGACGTTTCATACATCTGTATTGGTTTTCAAATAAAACAGTATATGATTTATGTAAGAGCGCATAGACTCTGAAACCTGACTGACTGGATTCAAGTTACAGCTCCAACATACATCAGCTGTGAGATTTTGGAGAAGTTCCTGATCTCTGTATGCCCTAGTTTCCTTCTCTGTTAAGTGGGGATAATAATAACCTATCTTATGGGATTGTTAAGGAAATTAATTCAGTTTAACTTACTATGTGTTAAGCTGTTTTATTGAATGGCTGTCAGTGCTGTTGTGATGAATGGAAAGTTTCAATTGAAAACGATTATGAGTTTAGAGAAGTATTTTGCTAGCGTAAGAGAAGAGTTAAAGGAATTTTAGGGGTTCTTGTGTTGAATATGATTGAGATCATGGTTGTAATACAAAATAGCATTTGGTCAGCAGTGTTACTGATTTGCCTAAAGAAACATTTAGTTGACTCTCTAGTGGGAGTCAAGTGCAGTGGGAAAAGACCACTGACCTGGGAGTTAGATGACTTGGGCTTTGATCTAAATTCTACCACAAACCATCTGGGTTGCTTTGAGCAAATGACTTATTCTTTACTCTGACTAGAATGAAGACTAGATAATCTCTGAAGTCTCTTTTAATTTTCCATTCTCTTTTTCTGTAACAGAATGAATGAGTTGGGAAGAGACGTTAGTTCTACTCGGTTACCCTTTTTAGTATGAAAAGAAGTTAGGAGATTTATGGAAAGATACAGTGAATGGCAGAACTAGTACTAGAATTTCGTTAACCAGACTGTTGCTCTTTACATTGTGCCATCTTGGCCTAAGAAGAAAACAAAATGGCGAAATTGTCTTTTGTAGGGATGGCCAACTAACTCATTGCCTTTTATCCTTAATGATGCTTTAGTGCTTCAAGTTACAATTCTTGAACCAAGCTGAAGGAGAAAAGTGATTGCAAATTGTACTGATGCTGTAATTTTAAAGGAGTATCCTTTGAAAAACCTTAAATAATATATGAAGGCATTTTAACCAACTAACATTAGATCATTTTTCCAGCAGAGGTAAAGTCCGTTAGTAAGTAATAGAGCAAGGGTTTAAGCCTTAGAGTTTCTGCAGATTGTGTCTGATGGCCAAGCTAATGCCCTATTCCAGCATTATGAATTTTAATCATGTATATTTTAGTAATTCAAATGCTTATTGACTTTGGTTCTTAAATTGCCCATGTGTATTCTAGACCATAGTTGAGCAAGCTATAGCCCAAGGGCCAAATCTGTTTTCGTATGGCTATAAGCTAAGGCTGACTTTCACATTTTTGAATAGTTGAAAAAAACCAAAAGAATTTTTCATTACACATGAAATTTACCTGGAATTCCTATTTTTGCGTTCATAAAGGTTTATTAGAACATAGGTGTGTTCATTTGTTTATATATTGTCTCAGTGCTTTTGCTTTAAAATTAGTAATTGGGGCAAAGACTGTGTGGCGGACAGTACCTAAAGTATTTACCTTTACCATGTGACTACAGACCATTACCCAACCCCTACTCAGGAACTTCAGTCTCCAATGCGGCAGTCATGTGTAGCTATTTCAATGTAAAATAGTTTCCAGCAGAAGGGATACAAAGGAAAATCAGCAAAGGTTAAGGAGTCAGTGAAATTCAGAGACAGAGCTTCTAAGAGTCCTCTCCAAGTAGAGACACACACAGAATGTACTAAATTTCTCCAGTTGCATGTTGTAGTAACACATCAGAGACTTAGCACCCACAGTTTTTATTGGGATCTGGTCACATAGACCCCCTCAGTCTAGCAGGTAACAAAATTCCAGACTCCCTGAAGGAAAGGAGGTGTTTGGTATGAACAGTATTTGTGTAAGTAGTTGGGGCATAGTGAGCCACTTATCATCCAGGTAAAGTTTACCTGTCATCCTCCTAGATACAAGGGAAGGACCAACCTTGAAAGCAGGCCTCTGTAAGGAAAGCAGTCTCGGGGCTGCCGTGTTAAATCTCTCCTGCACTTTACCTAACTGGAAAAGAGATACAGACTTAACATTGAAATCCTTTTGGGCAGTTTGGGTAGAGAAGACTGGTTTCATGAACCATGAGCCCCTTTGAGATGATGAGAGTTTGGGATTTTTCACTCGACATGAATAGGCATATGTATCAGTCATACTTTCATTTAGTTTTACAGAATTCCCTGGTTTAAGAGAAAGCATTGGTATTTAAAATATACCCTTTCTAATTGTACCAATCACCATATGATTTTGGGCAAGTAATGTATCTTGTGTATTGGTTCACTCTGTAATACAGAACTTAAAAACTTGATATCTGGTATCAGAATTCATTGGAATCTGGAATCTGCCATTGAAAGTGGCTGTATGATCTTGAACAAATTACTTAATGTCTCTAAGCTTCAGTTTTCTTATCTTTAAAAGGGTAATAGTAATATCTAGCTTATAAAGATGTGGTAAAAATTAAATGAGATAATGTGCTGAAAGCACTTAACATGGTATGTGGAATTTTGCAGTTTGTAATATATGTCTTGCCTACCTCATCATTAATTTTTTTCCCCCTTCAACTTCAGAGGTAACTTTTGGTCACTATTACTGTGTTGTTTTAATTGATGATACTAGTGAATGGCTTTTTTAGAGCCTAAATTTTGGGTGGTTCTGAAATTATGTTGTCTAATAATCTGTCATATTTTCTTAAATTTAAAGTGCTTTTTATGTTTCCCTGAGCATATACAGCACAGCTTTTAAAAGTGGAGAAACCTCTTTTGAGGATCTTAATTGCGCTGGTTTTACTGATAGACATCTATTTATCCTAATGAACTCAGACAAAATCTTTTCCTTTTATTGATGTTGACAAATTCTTTTTCCCCCTACAGCTGTACCTTTGGCTGCAACAAGTATGTTGATTACTCAAGGATTGATTAGTAAAGGTAAATATTTTAAACTTTGAATTTGTTTAGCACTTTGGATATCATGTTTTTATGTTCTGTTTTTCTCATCTTTAGATAAGGGACATATGGTAATGTATCATATTAGAAATTATCATTAAAAATTTCTACATTAGAAGGGATATATTGCCATGAATCCAGATTCAAAATTCAAATTTGAGAATTTGATGTCCTCCTGCACTGTAGTGTATTAACACTATAAGAACAAGAAAGTAATTAAAAGCCAGTGGTGGTTTACAGGGAGGTAGAGAAATAAACCTGGTTTAGGTAGACCGTCCACATAACTCATCACCTAGGAGCTTGTTAGAAATGCATATTCACAGGCCCCATCCCAGGCCTCCTGAATCAAGAGTCTGAGTTAAGGCTCCTGCTGAATCTTGTGTACTGGTTAAAAGACTGAATTCTCTACCTAGCTTCCTAAACCAGCTTTGTCTTATACTGGGGTAGTGGAGGTTCTTCCTTGTCCAAATTCTGTTGGTTTAAATAGTGAAGTTGGCAATCTCTCAAAAACCAGAGCAAAAAGAAAATACGTAGATATTCTGTTAGCTATTAGCAAAATAAATGAAAATTTTGAATTACACAGTAAAATATGCTACTTGGAAAGAATAGTTGTGTTTAAGTTAGGTATTAAATGTATCAGTCTGTACATCTTTAAATTTAGTGTATAAGCAGTAGAAATATTCATTACATTTATTTTGTGACCTGTCTTCTTGGAATTAGAAGGTGTTCCAGAAAAGGATAGTCAACAAGCTCCTTCTAAAATGTTACTATGATAAGCACATATAGCCTTTTCATATTAACAGTATGAAATACTTAGTAGTAGTGACACAACTAGTTGGGAAAAGTAGTTTTGAAGGGAAATGGGAGGAATTTTTGAGGTAAAATTTTGTTTTTATTTCAAGAATTTCCAAAGAACCTCACTAGACAGGAATTTTTAAAAAGCAAATGAGAAGGAAATGGCAACCCACTCCAGTATTCTTGCCTAGGAAACCCCACTGACAGAGGAGCCTGGCGGGCTACAGTCCATGGGGTATTGAAAGAGCAGGACTTAGCAAATAAACATGACTTAGCAACTAAACAACAATATCAGAAAGAACTCACGGAAGGAGACCAGAGTTCATATAGTGAGACCTTTGATTAATCTCAGTTCAGAGCCATGTTGAATCGCCCCCTGCCTGGTTCTATGTGTGCTGACTGGTGCTAATCACCTCTTCCGATAATTGGCACAGTTCTCACTTACGCAGTTATTCAGTTCCCTGCTGTATGTGCTTATACATACCCATATACACTTAAAAACTCACATAAAAGAAAAAAAAAAAAAGCAAATAAATCAAGATACATTTACTTGTCTTTCAGATTTGTTTTATAGACGAGGGTTGTTTCTATAAAGTGAAGCAGACATTTTAGTCTCATTAATTTTAAGGAAAACCTGAGCAATGGAGAAATTATAGTGTCTATTATTATACTACCCATTTTATTTGAGTTCTGTCAGTCATTTAACTAATGATTGGAGCTAGACATGGGGTGGGGTGGGTTATAGAAAAGAAAAATTAGTAACAGCTGGTGGTTCATGTAAGGAAAACAAAGTGAATACAAAGTCGTCAATACGACTTTGTGAATACAAAGTCAAAGCAAATAGAGAATATAATTAAATATTAAATAAGCTTCTAAGTTTTGTGGTAGAGACTCCCAAGAGCTATAGGTTTTCAAAGAAGAAAGATCTTTGTAGGGCTACTGTAATGAAGGTTTTGAAGATGGGTAGGATTTAGATTAAAGGAGATGCAGGAGAATCTCAGGAAGGAGGGACCTGGTTATCAGAATGATAAGATAACCATGACAGTTGAGGGGGACAGTCAGGAGACTGACATGGCTAGAGTGGCAAAGTCTTGCAGGGAAGAATGAAAATGTATAGCTAAGATGGAACCAAGAGAAATGGTAATTTTGAAAAGATTACAAAGAAAGCAAAATTTTGGAACTTTTGTGCTTTCATAGAATAGGAGACTTTGGACAGCTTGATGGTAAGGCACAAGAGGTAAAGGTTGGGAGGATGAGATTGCACCTACTCACTTAGACCTTAAATGACACCAGTGCTGGGTTTTTGCCTCTTTGGGAATGCCTTGTAGCTAATTATACGTATAACCAAACCACAGACAAATTCCCTTTTTGTACTTGAACACACATCTTCATAGGATGGTTCTTACATAGTTACCACTGAGAATCTTAGGATCTAGTAGTGAAATGACAGATTATTTTTGCAGCCAAAATCATCTTGGACTTCTGGTTACTGTTTGGTGATTATTTGACTTGAAATTAATGGTGATTTATGCATCTGATTTCATTTGCAGAAGTCATACCATGAGCAACAACCATCTTCAACATCTTTCTCTATAATTTTTCATAGTGACTGGGCTTGAAGCTTTTCAGTGGGATTTAATAATCAATTTTTTAAAAAGGATGAGTTGTCAAAATTGACTTAACCTAATTTGTAGAATAACATTTTCTATTGAGCATGTCACGTCATCTTTATACCTTTGTCAGAGTTTTGTTGTTGGGATTTTGATACTTTGAGTAAAAGATACAGAAAAGAATATTGAGTGATATGTCACCCATATAATTATCTCCCAGAATTCAGGGCTTTTATTGTTGAAATTGTATTGGGATCTTGTTTTTGGAGGGTGAGGTATTCTAATGAAAAATCAGCCTCAAAAAAAATATTGAGAGACTTTAGAAAAGGAATTCGAATCCAACAAAACATTTTGCATTTAATCAAAATGCCTAACATTTTGTGTGTGATTTTATCCACATGTATGATTTTTATCCAGTTTGTCATACTCTACATAGTCTTAGCTGCTCCTGCTCTATTCATTCTTTTAAATCAAAACCTTTAAATATGCTTAGATCATTTCTAACTTCAGAACATAAAAAAGGAAAAATTTTTTTATCCTTTTACAGCTGCTCCTAGTTATCTTGAATTTGAAGCCAGACTTCATGAATGAGCACTTTACTTTTTCTTTTGACCTACTGCAATATATGTCATAGATTATGTATATAATCTGACATGTACTAAAATGTACCAGTACAACCTTTTTGTTGCTTGAATTTGATAGACAGATTTTCTTCATGACCATTACACAACTTTAACCAGTCCTTCTTAAAATGTTCTCGTCTCTTGGCTTCAGTTATAGCACATTCTTCTGGTTTTTCTCCTATTGCAGCTTCTCCATTTTTTCATGTTTTTTGAATGTCTGATAGGCAGTATATACTGTTTTGGGTATTTAGCATTGAAGACAAAAACCCACAACCTCTTGGTGCTTACATTCTTAGTGTGGGTTTTTTCCTTCACTGTGTTCTTAAGAGTTTTACTCTGTCTTTGAATTTTTAGTCCATGTACTATCCAGCAATGATGGGAAGTTTAATGACCATTTATTGCTCTAAGTCCTCATAATTATCTCGAGACTAGGTAATTTGCTCCAGAACCATGTTCTGCACATCTCCACATGAATGGCCCTTCTACAGGCTTCTCAAATTGAACTCAAGTTCAGTCCCAAACTGAATTCACTTCTCCACAAATTAATTCCTCCATTCCCTCTGAGTCTGAATGGCATCACTCTCTAGCCAGCATTCAGACATTTTTCACTTCTGTTGTTTACCTGCTTTGTCCAACAAATGTCCATTCTGTAGTCCAGCTCTTTTTTTTTTTCAATCTACAGGCAAGTTATTTTGAATATAACAATATAAGGAGGCTGAAAATAAAAGAATAGGCAAAGGTATATCATGTAAACATTAATCAATAATACACAGAATTCACTATATAAATGTCAGATAAAATAGACATCAGAGCAAAAAAATTAGTGGATACAGAGAAGAACATTATATAATAATGAAAGCTTCTCAGTCGTGTCCAACTCTTTGCGACCACATGGACAGTAGCCTGACAGGCTCCTCCGTCCATGAGATTTTCCAGGCAAGAGTACTGGAGTGGGTTGCCATTTCCTTCTCGTGTAGTCCAGCTCTTAAGTATTTCTGTAAGCTCTCTACTTTCATCTGCACTCCCGTTGTAATTCATGCACCATTTGTTGGTAAGAATATTGCATTAGTCTCAGTAATTGTATTTGTCTCCATTCTTGCTACTTCCCTTTAGAATATGGACTTGTTTTTTGGCAACTGACAGGGGGCATAATGCATGCAATAGACACTAAAATACAAGAATAATTTTATTGTGCTTCACAGATACTTTTGTTTTTTTACAAATTCAAAATTTGTGACAAGCTGCATAGAGCAAGTCTTATCAATATCATTTTTCTGAAACTAGCTGTTCATGTCTGTGTCTCTGTGTCATATTTTGGTAATTCTTGCAGTAATTCAAACTTTTTCATTATATTTGTCATGGTGATCTGTAATCAGTGCTCTTTGGTGTTACTGTTAACAAAGATTATAGCTTGCTGAAGGCTCAGATGATGACTAGCATTTTTAAGCACAAAGTATTTTTTTTAATTAAGGTATGTACATTGTTTTTTAGACATAATACTATTGCACGTTTAATAGACTACAACATATTGTAAACATGAATTTTAATATCCAGTGAGAAATCAGTAAATTTATGGTATTTGCTTTATTACAGTGGTCTGGAACTGAACCTGCAGTTATCTAATCTGTGTCCGTATTTGAGTGGATGAATAGCAACCATTACACTATATTCTGTGTCTTCATTTGCTCTGTAGATTAAAAGCTCTGTGAGGTTAAAGAGAGTGTCTCTTTACTGTTACATTCCCACTTCCTAGAATGTAGTGCCTCTTTGTTATAAGTGGTCTATAGCTATTTGGTGACAGAATAAAGAAACAGTGTTTTTGTGTAAATGTAGATATTGTTACAGTCCTCCCTTTTCTCATTAGTTCATTTGATAAAAAATTAAATGGCAAAATTACATATACATGATACAGTCTTTTGTGTACCTTCTTTCAACATTGTGAGATTCATCCAGTAGTATGCCAAAACTGGCTTGTACCAGCTCCAGAGGGCTAATTGTTAAAAATTTTAGGAACTTGGCAAACCAATTTTTAAAGCATTGGTAGCTTGAAATTGGTCATAGGGCAAGTATTTACACCACAGAAATCAACTAACATTACAAATCAGAGCCTTTTAATTGGAAAGCTTGTTTACCAGCATGTCACTGGATTCATTCACATTGTTGCATGTAGTTGTAAGTTACATATATTCATTGCATATAGTTTTTTGCTGTGTGAATATATCATGGCAGTCTGCCCATCCTTTTGTACATTGATGATTGTGTAGTTTCCAGTTTTGACATTACAAATGGTTCTGCCATGAACTTCATGTCTCTTTGTAGACATTTTGCTTGGTCATAGATTATGTCCAGGTACAGTTTTAGTGGATACTTTCTAAACTTCCCAAACTGTTTAGACCAATTTACACTCCTACTACCAGTTTATTAATTTGTTGGTGTCATTATCACAAACACATGCTACTATTGTATCTTTTGAATTTTAGCTGTTGTTAATGAACATGATAGTGATTGCATTGTAGTTTTGATTTGCATCTCCCTCATGGTTAATGAAGTTGATTTCGTGTGTGTTTATCAGATGTCATCTTATAAGAAAGGCTTTCTGTGGTCTCTTCAGGATATTTATCTGGTATAAGGACATGAAGAGTCTCTTGTGCTTTTTCTGTAAGCTTTATTGTATTTATATTGTCATACTTAGTTCATTGACCAGGGATTGAACTCAGGCCCTTGGCAGTGAAAGCCCAGAGCCTTAACCACTGGGATACTAGGGAATTCCCTGTTTTGTCTTTCATACTTTTATTTTCTTTTTTTTTTTTTTTTTCCTTTTTTTTTTTTTTTTTTTTTTTTTTTTTTTTTTTTTTTTTTTTCATACTTTTATTTTCAAGTCATCTCAAATTACTTTTGAACATTATATGAGGTAGGATCAAGGTACATGTTTCCCCCGTACGGATTTGTGGTTGGCCCAGCACTAAATTTTGAAGACTAGTCTTTGTTCACTGCAACGCAGTGTTGTTGCCTCTGTTATAAATCAAGTGACTATATGTGTGGGTCTGTTTCTGGATTTTTCTGAATTTGATCAGTTTATGTGTTCTTGTACTTACAACACATTATCTTAATTAGTATAGCTTTATCATAGATCTTGATATCTAGTGATAGCTAGTTCTCTGTTGTGGTGTTCTTTAATACTGCCTCGGTTTTTCTTGACCCTTTGTGTTCCCACATGAATATTAGAATAAACTTTTCAGTTTGGGGAAAAAACTTTCTTTGCTTTTAATTGGGATTGCGTTGAATTTATAGATGTTTATGAGGAACTACCATCTTTATAATATTTAATCTTTGAATTCATGAACATGGTGTGTTTCTCCATTTACTTAGCTTTCATTTCCCTCAGAAAATTTTGTAGTTTTCAGAATCTTTCTTATTTTTTATTAGATTTGTTTTTGGGTCTTTGATGGTTTTTGGTGCTGTAGTAATATCCTTTTTAAATTTTTTTGTTTGTTTGTTTGTTCCTGATACATAGAGATGTGTGTTTTTTGTTTTTGTGTATTTTTGTATAGTGAGCTTGTATCAAGTGATCTTGCCGAATTCATCCATTCTAATAGGTTAGAATCTTTTGATTTCTTCATATTTCTCTTGATGTTGAATTCTTTTTTGAATAGCTTCAGGCTGTTTTGGTATTCTGGAAAGAGCTGATGCTTTCAGGTAATATATAGAGGTAGTCTGTACTAATTTCTGAAAGAGACACGTGCACCCCAATGTTCATTGCAGCACTGGAAGCAACCTAGATGCCCATCAGCAGACAAATGGATGAGAAAGCTGTGGTACATATACACCATGGAATATTACTCAGCCATTAAAAAGAATTCATTTGCATCAGTTCTAATGAGATAATTTTTCCTTATGTCTTTGTGGGTTGCTCAAAGCCACTAAGAAATAGATATATCTTGTTTTATACTGCACTGCTAAACTTAAAACTACTTTTGTCTCACATGAAAAAAGACCAGCAGAAGTATATGACAAGCAGAATTATTTTCTTTGTATTTTTGACCATAATTTCTGTACCATTCTTATACTCTTAGCATAAACTCCTCTCCTTGCAATAAAAAAATTGAAAAAATCTTAATTATGTAAATGTAACAGTGTTGCTCAGAAACATTTACTGTTTTATCTTTAGGAATCCTTTCAAGTCATCCCAAATATGGTTCCATTCCTAAACTTATATGTAAGTATGAACAATACTAATTCTCTTAGCTTTTTTGCCTAAGTAAAATAAATAGCTTTTACAAATGTTCTGTCTTACTAATAACAGTTATTTGGTTATTTGTTTTGATAAATCATTGTGTTTAAGTTTTAAATGAACTACTTGGGCATTTTATTGTTAGCATTCAAAACCATGGGTTAGTTGAAAGAGGCATTTTTCTCTGTTTTATAATGTCTAAAACCATCAGTTTTAAATTTTGTAAAGATATAATGTTTAGTCTGTGAGGAAAGAAAGTTTAGCTAGTCTGATTAATCAGAGAGTATTTGAAAATTAAGTGTAATTTTTTAAAAACCCTGATTTGCAAGTAGTAAATAAACATAACAGCATTTATAAGTATAGCTTCTTTACATTTTATGATATGATTAGTAAAAAAATAGTAAATTGCCCTAAAAGAGTGTCTGAAGCTTTATATGAATCTGACAGGGTATTCTGTCTTCTGTATCAGAAAGATACAACAGTAGCCATGCTTAAGTAGCATTTCATAATTTATTATTTTAAGGGATTTGTTTCACATAATTTTTAACTTACTTGATTTATATCCACTGAATCTTTCTGTGAACTCTTGAGTGCAACTCAGTGTTATACTTTTACCAGTATTTCAGGAAATCCCAGTTTTTCCACACCAGAGACATATTTAGAACTACATTTTTTTGAAGTGTTCTTTTAGAAAAGATTTTTGTCTATAAAGAGGCACATTGAGTTACACTTTTTGTTTATTTTTACAAATAAGTTGCTTGCATCATGGGATACTTTGCTGGAAAGCTTTCTTATGTGAAAACTTGCCAGGAGAAGTTCAAGAACCTTGAGAATTCCCCTCTCGGAGAAGCTTTACGATCAGGACAGGCACGACGATCTTCACCAACTGGGTAGGCCATTCAGATCTTTATAAAGGCTTTCATTTTAGCCAAAAAAACCTGTCACTAGATACTGACGTAGTTGAGTGCATGAAACATTGCCTCACTGAAGGACCACTGGAAACTTGCCATTTTGTGGCAAGCTAAAGCTAATTTTATTTTTAAAAGTAAAACAAGATTTGTTTACTTTGGTTTAAAATAAAGAGTTGCATCCTATTGGGAGTTCATGTCCGAGAATGAGAGATTTTAATTTGGCAAACTAGTTTGGTTACTATACTCTTATTTTCTTAATTGCCAAATATTATCAGTCTCATCTCTTGACAGATGTCAACTTTTAATCCTTCTGTTGTTTAAAATTGTAGGAAAATTGTGTAAGTGTAGATAAGTGAATCTGTCTGTCTTGAGAGGTAGATAAATAATAAAGTAATTAAGTAGATTCGGTAGATAAATTGTCCTGTCACAAATGGTAAGTGACAGAAACCCCGTGAGAGCTACTGTTATTTATATTTGCTTCAGCAAAATGGTGTTTATATGGACTACTCCCTGTGGAAGTAACTTCCCAGTTAATGTGAGAAATGGACATATTTTCTGATCTGAAGTACTTTATTCTTTCCAAGAACTTTAAACACATTAAAAGGATCTCTGAAGCCTAATAATAGAAAATCGGATATATATTTTCTCTTCTCTATATTAAGAGTGACAATTTTTTAGTTGTATAAGTGGATCAGAACATATTTTTGTTTTTGTGGCAGAAACAGACTTTATTTTACTGTTTTAAATAACTATACTAAAATTATATGATTCCTTTAGAAAATGACTTAAGTTTTTGTATCTTAACACACTTCTTTAAATAAGGCATAGACAGTAACCCATGTTTCTTTATACAATATGATTTTATTTTATAGGCACTATTCTCAGAGGTCAAAATATGACTCAAATGTGAGTGGTCATTCATCTTTTGCAACATCTCCAGCAGCAGACAACTTAGAAAAAGAGATGCTTCCTCATTATGAGCCAATTCCATTCAGTGCTTCTTTGAATGAATCTACTCCAACTGGTATTACTGATCATATTGCCCAAGGTAGAAACTTCTCTTGAAATGAATTTCAGCTTTTATGGTCCAACGTATGTATAAACTTTATTTGATGACCTTTTTTGCTGGATATCACCTCTGTATTCCACCATCAGCCTAAACTCAGCATGTTTGTTTGCTCATCTGTTCATTTGAATTCATTCTTCATTCATTCAACACTTTTTGAGGTCCAGTAGGTATCAGGTACTCTGCTAGGTATGGAAGTAAAGATGAGTAAGAGCTGGCTGTTTGCCCTGAAAAACTCTCTCAATCTGCTGAAATATATAGAAAAATAAGAATAAATTATTAATTTGCTCCATTAATTGAAAATACCATGTTTAGTGAAATAGCAAAGACGAAATGATAAATGGTGCTTGAAAGAGTCTTTAAAAGGTTTCATTTATTACTGTGGTCTTAAAGGCTCTCTTAGCTTCTTTGTAATGTGAAAAAAATTACCTGCTTTGCAGAACTGTTGTCAGGTGAGAAAATCCATGTGAAAGTGCTTTGTGAAGTTTGTGTGAATATTAGCTTTGAAGATCATGTGATGTGAGTGAAACACCATCAGCTTTGGATTAAGGCCTGCATGTGAATTGTGATTGACATTTGCTAGCTATGTGTCTTTAGACAAGTAATTTGTAGTGCCTTCAGTTTCTTGATCTCTTGAATTGAGATGATAATACCTGTCTTAAAGAAATTTGGGAATGAAATGAACTAATGAGAGGTAATGCCTGAAAAGTATTAATAATAGACTGTCACAAATGTTAGCTAGTTTGCTTCCTTTTTCTTCAGTCTAATTTGCCATGAAAGATGAATTGGAAACAAAGTGTAAGTTTGTAATTTCTTACCTAAAATCCAAAACTTTTTTAAAAGAACAAGATTTTTAAATAATTAGTGATAAAAATCTGACCTGAACTCAAACTTATTTTAGCTGGATAGAGCTATATTGATCATCTTTATTTATCTTAATATTTTTTCTAGATTTTGTTTTAGGAATGTTGTGTTTGCTTATTCATCACTACTTCAATGGACATTAAGTAATAAGGGATATATACGGTAATGTTTTTTCTAAAATCTAAAACTCTGATTTTTGAAGCATTTTTGACTCCCAAGGGTTTGGAGAAGGGATTGTGGACCTCATAGAGTATTTGAAAACACGTGCTTTGAAATAAATAGAATAAGCCAGTACCTGTGGAGAGCAAACAAGGTTAAAGGGACATTTGGGCCTTCATTTCTTTTCATACAGAAAGAGATTTTATTCTGTATGTATGAATAGGTTAAAAGGAGGGAAAGTATAGAGTGGAAAGAGAGGTGTTGATTATAGATCAAGTAAGGTTCCAGATGGTGCCGAAAGGGTTCTAGGTTGGTCAGGATATAAAATAGCCATTTGCTGTATGTGGCTGTTTAGAGCAAGAGTCAGTGGCAGGGGTGGGGAGGGTGAGTATTAACTTTGCAAAAGAGACAGGAGAAAGTGAAGTTGAAGAGTTAAGATAACTGAAGAGATTCTTAAGTCTTATTTTTTTGACTGCACTGTGCGACATGTGGAATTTTAGTTCCCTGACCAGGAATCAAACCCACGTGCTGTACTGAATCATCAGGAAGGCTCGAAAGTCTTTTTAATTGTTACCATTTCTCCCCCCTTAGTGGCTGGACATGCGACACCTGATTAGTGAGAAAGGAAAAGAGGTCAGCAGCATAGGAGAGAATGGTTGAAGTCATTAGTTTATCTCCAGAGTCAGCTGTCTCACAGTGTCTCCCATTTCTCCAGTCTCCCAAATTCGAATCTCTTCCCCTTCTGTTCTAGCCATGCACCAAGTCTTCCCTTGCTACGTCTTGCATCCTTCCTTGCATTTGCATTAGAAAATTTCATTCCATGTTACATAATTTCTTTGCCAGTGAAAACAGACAAAACGCCCTTTGGTATCTGCCCACAGACTACAGCAGGGACCAAAGATGTGTTTTAAGTGGTCCCCCCCCCCCCCATAGCGATCCATCCATCCTTGCTCTGCTGTCTCACCCCCGCCCCCAAGTCACGGTTGCCACTTTAGTTCCCCACGTGAGCCCACAGTGGCCGCCTTTGCTTTCCTGCAGTCCTCCCTTACCAGGACATCCTCCCCTTTTGTTTAAGTCCTTTTTGTCCTCTGCTTTCTCTTACCAGGAATTGAAAGTTATTAATCTCTCAGAGTAGGAAGCATTCTTTCATAGTTGTTAAGAGACTTATTGTAGTTTATTACAGTTAGATTTAAATCAGTGCTTTTTTACATTTTCCTGTTCCTTCCAGCTCTTTACTGTAAGTCTTGCTCCCTACACAATGCAAAATACTTTCATTTGGCTTTTACAAGTGAAAAAAATTACCCCTAATTTTCTGTCTGATTCATGTTTTCATTATTCATTGCAGAATTTCAGAACAATGAAATGTTCTTCTTTTTGATAAGAAAATGTATTAGACCTGGAAGGAACTTTAGTGAAGATCATCTAGTTCAAACTTCCATATTTGACAATTGAGAAAACCAAGACTCAAAGAAGCCTAGTGATTTGCCCAAGGACATTCATTAAATGTTGTCAGAGTGGGAATGAGAATCTAGGGTTCCTAACTACTAATCTAGTATAAGCTGTCTCCTTCAGAATTAAAAAAATATCATTTATGGTGAAATCAAATGAATTCAATAACTTATTACTAATGAAATGCAAGGTGCTTTTAAATGCACTATACAGTTTTAATATTTTTCTTTAAGCAAGAAAAATTTGGTTTTTGTCCATGGTATATAATATTAGAACTAATTAGAAATTTAAATCCTCTGCTTTGTATCAGTGCAAGTATACTTTATGGTAAAAGATTGTAGTTGAATATCGTCAATGAAATGTTATGTTGCTTTGAAAAATGTGAGTATTCACCGGGACCTTACTATTGACTTTCAAAATAGTACCATTTATAAAAACTGCTTTAAAACAATTGTTTTAATTCATATGGTTATATTATTAAAATGATATACCTAATTTCTGTGTCTCATTAAAAACCTCTGAAAAATATTATTTTGGGAGTGGTTTATTAGATTTTTATAAGTTAAGTAGTTCACTGAATGTTATGTTAACATTAATTAATTTTTAAAAAATATTATCTGGCTTTGCTTGCTGACTGTATATTTTATAAACTATATTCAATATTTAGTCCTGTTACCTAACCATTTCCTTATTTTTATATCAGTATTTGACTCTTTGATAAAATGTTTTCATACTTTGACTTTCTTTGGGAGAGAGAGAGAGAGAATAAATGCTGGTTCCCCAGGTAAAAGTTGCTACTTTTTTCTGCCTCAGTATTGTATCCATTAGACCTGAATCAAAATGATGCTTCCTGTGATTAAAGACTTATGTTTTTTACCTTTCAATAGCAATTTTCAAATATTATTGAAATACAAGAAAAGATAAGTTTTTTTAATTGCTGGAGTTGTTTGTATATATATATAGACTGGATACAGTAACATTTAACTATGGAAATACTACTAAATCTACACCATGTCTAATTTTGTTCAATTGTTGCTAGTAGAATATATTTCTCTTTAATTATATAAACTGTATGAATAACCTCCCAGTGAGCAGCACTGGCAGTTTAATTAGTGAATTGTGCTGGTATATATTGTATCCATTCTTCTGGCCATGTGTAGTTTAAAAATATATATTTTAAATTTTAGAAATAAAAGTTTGAAAGTGTAAGAGAAAGTAGATTTTAATTTTATAATTACCTTGGGGAAAATACAGAACCTTTGGAATGCTGGTAATAATTTGATCCTTCACTTTACTTTTTTGGTAGGTAAGGAGCATTTGTAAGCTTTAGTTGCTTTGGATTTTATTAAAATCCTTTTATCACCATTTATTAACTGTTTGTTGTTTTAGGACCTGATCCCAACATTGAAGAAAGTCCTAAAAGAAAAAATATTACATATGAGGAATTAAGGAATAAGAACAGAGAGTCATATGAAGTTACTTTAACACATAAGACTGACCCCTCAGTCAGGCCTATGCAGGAAAGAATGCCAAAAAAAGAAGGTATGATAGTCTAGTCTGAATCACTTTACTCTTTAGGATTGGAAACTGCAGCACTAGTTTAATTATACTAACGTGTGATTTAATGCCTCAAGCAATTAACCAAAATAACATTTTTTTAAGATGGTAACTACTTAATAGTTATCAGTTCTTCCTTTTTTAAAGTGTTCCAAAAGCCATTTTACATTAGAAAATAATGAAGTCCAAATAGTGTAACTTAAAACAGTAAGACTAAATTTTTAATGTAGAAATTATGCAAACATTTGATTGTTTTCCCTTATGAGAAACCACTTTGGGAATTGATACCATTCTTTAAAATGATGTATCTATTGCATAAAACCAGATTAGATTGATAATGCCACTTTTGGCAGAATCACAGAATCCTGATTGAGTAATAAAATGATGGTCTTGTATGTCTGTGACGTTGAAAGAGTTACATGCTTGCAAGCTAGCTTTTAGAGCGTTTCCAAAGAGGGAGTTTGACTTTCACCCCTGCTTTGTGTGTAGTTGCCCAGTTGTGTTTGACTCTTTGCAACCCCATGGGCTGTAGCTCCCAGGAAGAACACTGGAGTGCGTTGCCATTTCCTCCTCCAGTGGATCTTCCTGACCCAGGAACTGAACCCATATCTCTTAAGTTAGCAGATGAATTCTTTACCATTGAGCTGCCAGGGAAGCCCCGTAACAGTACTTCACTCTATAATTAATTGTTTTTTTTTTTTTAATATCTGAAATTTGTTTATTGGGATGGATTCCCATTCATCTTTTTTTTCCCCCCATTTATTTTTATTAGTTGGAGGCTAATTACTTTACAATGTTGTAGTGGTTTTTGCCATACATTGACATGAATCAGCCCCCATTCATCTTGATACAGGGAGATCTTAGTGCTGCTTCCGTCTGTAAGATGGAGCATCCTTCTGTAAGAGCATCCTTCTGTAAGCCTTGCTTTTCCCCCTGTAGGCTGGCAGAGGACAGTAGGGCAGCCAACACACAAAACTACTGTTTGTGCGTGGCTAAAGACGGTGGTGATTTTATAGCATGCTGGGCATTTTACATCCATGAAATAGGAATTGGGGCTCTCACCAGGCGCTTTTTCTTGTGTTTCCTCTTCTCTTCTGGAGAGGGATGAGGAAGATCCTCTGCTAGAGGCATGTTATTGTGAGGAAGTCGTCACCGCCGGAAAGTACATACAGATTTTTTAAATCATGATTTAAGACTTTTTGGAGCAGCTGCGCATAACCCAGAGTAGATTTTCTGACTCCAAAGATTTGCCAGTAACAAGAGAGCATTTTGAATAGGGCTTTGTAGCTGTTTCAGTATAAAATTTTGTAATATCTTTCTTGAGGAATTTTAGAGGATGTATCGTCATTTCAAGGTTTTCTATTTACTACTTTAAAAATTGAAGGAACAAAAAAGTCCTTTGTACTCTCTTGAGAATACTCCATAGAGAATGCAAAAATACTTAAAAAATCATTAGTATTTTTTATTATGATCATCCTTTAGAGCTAGTTTTATTTCTAATTGGTAATAATTGTTTCATTTAGAATTCTATTTTATAACAGTGATCCACCTCTGTCATATTATTGATGTTCTTTACAGCTTTAAAATAGATTTGTAATCAGCAATACTTGTTAATGTTTGTCATAAAAATTTTTAACATAAGCCTTGTGTATTTAGTAGTTATTACTCTGTGATATGTGAAGATTCACTGGTACGCTGATCTTCTAATTAATTTGAGAATTTAGACTGTAAGCTCCATGAGGGCAGGCGGTAGTATTCTTCTCATTTTTGTAATCTGCTCTACTGTATGTCTGCATAGCATAGTGCCATCATTTGATATGTCAGAAATGTTGTGTTTTGGTTGGGCCTTCTAGTACTAAAAACTAAGAAAAGATACCAGGGTAGATGAGTGATATTTGCTGGATTTGGACATTTGTGCTTTTGGCTGTGAATAGTTTTGAAGTTCTGTTTCATGATACAGTGATGTGAACTGTTTTTCTTTGTAAAAAGAAAGCTTTTTTTTTTTTTTTGCGCTTTATGTAATTTAAAGAAAAAAGTTACTAAACAGTTTGTGATTTCTGTTGTAGAACCTAGACAGAAATTTAACAGTACAGTGTGGATTCACTAGGTCAGAAAGTGTCATTTAAAAATTCTCAGCTTTTGTTTATGTGGATTATATTCGTTGTTACTTTAGCTAGTTAGAAATTATGGCAGAAGTTTTAAACATCTAAGCATATTTTCAGTTAACTATCAGCAGTGATGTCCCCACACATCATGTAGCTCCGTGAAAACTGCCTTCTACACATAAGGAAAGAAGAGCAAGGGGGAAAAGCAAAACAGTGTCCTAGTATAATAATGAAGTAATTTTGACTTTGAAGACTTCACTGAAAAAGTCTTGGGGAAGGGAATCCCCTTATATAACTGCTTCTTTACATTGTTAATGAATACTTGGGTCTTCTGAAGAATTATAATTCACAGATGATGGCTGTGTAGAAGAGGCTAAAAAGTAAGAGTAGAGAAGATAAAGAACATGTTTCAAAATGTAATTTCGCATAAAATGCAAAAATATTGGAAAGCATTTCCTCCTTGTACTAGTATTAATCTCCTGAGAGAGATTAAATTAATCAAATCTGAGATTTCTGTGAAAAACAGCATTCAAATGTTCATTATTGTTTTATTTTTCTTTTACTGGTAACTATTGTACATCCTGCAATGTATATACTATGCTTACTTTAGATGGTAAAGTTGTAAAGGTACCCAGGCTTTGGACCTAAATAGACCTGTGTTCACATTTCAGTTCTACCTATTTTATTAGGTTTGTACCTTGGGCAAGTTACTAATCTGTTTTCCTTAGAATGGGGATTATATGTACTTTATCAGGTTGTTTTAGACATCAAATACATATGTAAAGGTCTTGATGCCATATTTATGTCCAACCTCCAGTTCACAAAAGTCTAGCCAGCCCCTTTTTATAATTATAATTTGACTCTCTTGTGCATTTATTCAAATGAGAAACATAATTTAAGTCATAATAATAGCAAACATAAAATAGTTCCTTTCACTTATTACTATTTGGAATCATCAATTATTTGTGCTTTTTTCCTAGTCAAAGTAAACAAATATGGAGATACTTGGGATGAGTGAAAAATTGCATCATTGGACCTACTGAAGGAGTTTAAGTATCCAGCTTCATCTAGGTGGTCATGAACATCTGCATGCTTTGAGCTCAGCAGCAGTCTTCATAAACACATTTAAAACTAGAACCTGGGTTTTTGTGGTTTGGCTTATTAAGATGATGTTTTAAAAACTCAGACTTTAATATTGTGTGAATGTAGTCATTTGGGGAACTCTTTGAATGATGGTATTATACCATGATTATACATAGTTTGTGAAATTGTTTTAAGTTACAGGGCAAGGAAACTCTGTTATAAAACTTTCAAGAGAATGTAATGCTCTACAATCACTGCATCTGGAAATAAATGATATCTGCATGTTGAATTGGGGTGGGGGGGAGCAAGCATAATTTTGAGTGTTAAACTTTACATCAAAATTATTTAAACGCCTTTCTCCAGTGTTTGCTGTATTCTCTTAGTGTTTATGGTAAATAAAATATAAAGGAACGTGTATCTTCATTGATTTTATGGTCTTATTTTTTCTAGTCTGCCTGTGTGTTAAATTGCTTCAGTCATGTCTGACTCTGCAGTCCTATGGACTGTAGCCTGCCAGGCTCCTCTGTCCATGGGATTCTCCAGGCAAGAATACTGGAGTGGGTTGCCCTCTTAAGTACAATCATAAGCAAGAGTTTTGTAGGGATAGGAAATAAAGTCATCTATCTGAATATTTAATTATGATACAAAGAATGTGACTCAAAGCAACATACAGTGAATAGCCCAGTGCCCTAAAAAGGCAAGTGTTTGAAAAATTTGCGAATTCCAGGGGAATAAAAATTTAGTATACTCTTATTTTCTTCATTATTGACCTAATACTTGTTTCTGGTTCAGGTGAGTGGAAAGTGAAAGTGTGGTCTCATCTAAATTATACTTAATTGTATTACATTTCCACCAGAAACAGTATTTCAGTTAGTTACTGCTGCAAATCGTCCCCAGACTTTGTGGCCTGAAACAGCAGCAATTCATTGTCTCAGTTTTTCTGTGTCAGAATTTAAGGAAGGATTCAGCTGAGTAATTGGCTTTGGGTCTCTGAGGTTTGCAGTCAGGTGCTGGATGAAATGGAAACAGCAGGCAGCTAGTCTGGGGCCTGGCCAGGCTTCTCTTCGCTTCAGGACCTTGCTGTGTCTCTAGGTGAATGGGGGCTCCTCACAGCGTGTTGTGCTCAAGCCATTAGACTGTTCACTTGATCATTAGGGCTCTAGTGTGAGTGCAGCAGGCATTTCAGAAACTTGCCTTTTTTCTGACCTTGCCTCAGAAGTCCTGCCTCAAGCGGGAACATAAACTCCACAACTAGTCACGTTTTTTAAAAAAGGAAACGGGATGGAAGATGCTGAGCTCTTTTCAGCCCCCCATTTGACCGCAATAATTCACACCCTTCTCACATGCAAAATTTTTCCGGAACTCCATTGTGACAGCTCAGGGTCTAGGAGCTCGTCGTCTAATCAGGTCCGGGTGTGGCTGAGGTAAAGGTCCTTAAGTATCATTCCTCTCAGTCTGAATACCTGTGAATTTAGAAGTAGTCTTCCCTGTTTGTCCCAAGCTCTCTGCTTTAGACTTTCCTTTTTAAAGGGGGAATAGAAAGACACCACAGTCACCTACCTTTGGCACGTAAACCCAGCCAGTCTTGTGTTGGTTTGACTGGGATTGAGGCATAACCCCTGGGGCTCTGCGTCATCCTTTCCCACAAAGGTAGCACATGGTTGCCCATGGAGTGGTGCTCTCAACCTGCCTCTTTCCCGTAGGAATTCGGGATTCCAAGGTCTCTGTTTATATTATACCTATGCAAGCTGAGAGAGTTTTTTAAACCTGTGGAGTTCTTGGGTCCATTCAGTTACACAGGAGCCCCTGTAAGTCTGTTAGAAATAGTCTCTTCTGTCTACGGCCACACCACCCTGAGCACGCCGGATCTCATCTGATCTCGGAAGCTAAGCGGGGTCGGGCCTGGTTAGTACTTGGATGGGAGAAATAGTCTCTTCTATGTTGGCTCCCTGTGAGGCTGATGAACAACCTCCCTGAAATTCTTGGAAGCCTTGGGCAGGGTCTTCAAACCTGTAGAAGGCCATTTGTGTCTGAAGTGTTCTGAGGCACAGTCATCTTTCTCAGATCTGAAACGAAGTCTTAGTGCCCTTCTCTGAATTTGACCTTTGCCTGGAAGCTATTTTTGTACATGAGAATCCTTTCCCGGCTTAAAAGACTCTTCTGAACCTTTATGTTTTCTCCAAATCACATTTTTCCTTATGTAAGGTTTCTCCTGTCTCATTTTACTTACACAGCTAGAAAAATCCAGGTGGCATCCTCAGCACTGATCTGAAATAACTAGATCAGGTTTATTAGGTATATATATATTTTTTCATTTTACCGCAGGTGGCAGTTTTACTAAACTCTACTACACAATCTTCCCTTGTGGCTCAGCTGGTAGAGAATCCGCCTGCAATGCAGGAGACCAGGGTTCGATCCCTGGGTTGGGAAGATCCCCTGGAGAAGGGAAAGGCTACCCGCTCCAGTATTCTGGCCTGGAGAATTCCATGGACTATATATAGTCCATGGGGTCACAAAGAGTCGGACATGACTGAGCGACTTTCACTACACAGTTAGGGTCTCTTCCAGGTTCCAGTAACATTTTCCTTTATTCCTTGTAATTCCTCCTTTTCAGCCTCCTCTCTAGGCTTCTGTTAACGCCCTCATCCAGGCCCTTTAGGTTTTCGTGAAAACCTACTCAAGGTCCTGCCAGTTGTTCCCCAAACCAGTGCCACATGTTTTAGGTTTTTATGGCAGCTCCTTACTTCCAGCTACCCAGTTTCTGTATTAGAGTTTGATAAGAAAGTAGAACCATTCTGAATGATAGAGATTTACTATAGGAATTAGATCTTAGGAAATTGTGAAACTGATAGTCTGCTGTTTATTTTGTCTGCAACTAGTATTAGGCATGTTCTTACAGTCAGGATAGAGACCTAAGCAGAAACAGGTCACTCAAGGCCTAAATTTGGAATGGTCATAACTTAATTTCTGCTTCATATTTTTTGTATGACTTATATGGACAAGCCCAAGGTCAAGAGATAGGTAAGTGCATCCCACTAACAGTGGGAGAGAAATACAGAATTATATGACAGAAAGCTTTCATGTAAAGAGAGAGAAGGAATTGTCTTACTCAAGGGTCTTCCCTGGTACTCCCAATGCAGGGGACCCAGATACAATCGCTGGTCAGGGAACTAGATCTCACATGCTGCAAATAAGAGTTTGCTTGCCTCAACTAAAAGATCCTGTGTGCCACAAGTAAGACCCAGCGCACCCAAATAAATGAATCGTTAAAAGAATTGGGCCAGTAATACAATCACAAGGGGAGCAGAAGTGACCAGTCCTGCCCATGGCATTCTAAAGGCATTTAGCTTGTATCTATCTCACACAGACATGTCATATTGTATTATAGCTATGTATTTAAAATATCTTACCTCCTGCACTAATCTCTCTGAAAGCAGGGATTATTTTATATATGTGTGTATCCCTATTTCTTCAAACACATTGCCTTGCATATTGAAAGTCCTGAAAAATATTTATGGAGTTAATGGATGAAGCCATTTCTGGGCTTCCAAATCATAAGCTCTGTTTTTCAAAATGTTCAGGAAGCTTCCTTTTTTTCTTTTTCCTCCTATTTTTTGGCCATGTTGTGTGACACATAGAATCTTAGCTCCTCGACCAGGGATTGAACCCATGCCCCCCTGCAGTGGAAGTGTGACATCTTAATCACTAGACCACCAGGGAGTTTCCTTTTTGATAGTTTTTTCCTCACCATCATTAATTTCTACCTCCCAGGTTCCTTCTCATCACCTCCCCATTTCCATCCTCATTCTTGCCCCAGCCACTTCTAGAGATGAGAGAATCCAATAAAGTATTTTATAATATAAATTCTTCAAGACAGGCCTTCAGTCAACAAAGATTTTTTTAGACAATTGCCACAAATATACATTAATAAAGCAAAGGGCCAAACTAGTTTTCAGTGCAGGTGACACAAAACTTTAATCACAAATTTTGGACTGAAAAGAACAGATAGTTGAGCCTGAAAATAGCTCCATGAAATTGAAAAGACATAAGTGTATAATGAGTTATACTGAAGTTCAGAATGACCAGCTGCATAAACATAAAATAGGCAGGTGAGACTTGAAGGCAGATCATGTGAAAAAGCCTAGCATGGGCCAAAGGCATGACACAATCACACAGGTTTGGACTACAGCAGTAGTTAGTTGTTATCGTCATAGCTAACATCCATTTGTTACCGAATTAGGCCATAAGGATCCCACTTGGGCTGTAGCCCAGCAGAGGCTCCTGCCTCAGTGAGGAAAGTTCTTTTTCCATTGGGGTTCATGCAGTCAAAAATGAGTTCAAAGCTGAGATTGAAGCCTTATTCAATGGCCAGAGAATGGAGACAAGGGAACTTAGTTCATAAATCAACTTCTTATATAGGGGATGATTGAGGCAAGATTTTAGGGAAAGTTTAATGAGGGGGAGGCATATGCATTGCTTTTCTGAAAAAAGGCAGGGTTCTTCCTGGTGCCACCTCTTTTTTGCCCCCTTGTGGTCCTCGGGCATCTGGGTCAGAAGCAGGTCAAACCACCGTGGTGCAGACAGGCGGTGATCTTAGCCTGATTGGTTGGTGGTGAGGTAATCAGGAGTTGACATCAACCTTCTGGTTCCAACAGTTTGAGGTCTATGTGTTTTGTGGGCAGCATACAGTTAACTTCTCCCACCTGGTAGGAGTTTTAGTATCCTCGAAACAGCCCAAAGGACATGACTCAGAGTATCGGCTACAGATCTTGAGGAGGAACTAAAAGTCCTTGACTTTAATGGTGCAACCATTATTTCATGTGTGCAGAAGTGAAGAATATGCTAGTGTATAATATGCCACTGGTCCTGCTTCACACAACTACACGTTCTGGTCCCAGACTTTGAAGCCTCTGGGTTAATCACTGAAATCTCTACAACTCTATAAATATCCATGATATCAGATTTTATAATTCAGATTTGGGTGCAGAGTTCCAAAGTGAAAATGTTTTCTGTTGAATAGTAAGAAAATTACCTACATGACATTTTCATTACTTAAGTCATTCAAGATAAGTATCATTACTATCGCAATGTTAACAGAAACTAGGAAAATCATTCTGACAGCATAGGAAGAGAAAATCTTTGCTTAAATGAGAATTTAGAAAATACATTAGCATTGTATACAGTATATCATTATATATAGTTATAGATAACATACAATATATATTGAAAATTCTGGAAATTATGATCTACTTTGGTAAATGAATCAGACATAAGAGGATTTTGCTACTATTTTTTAAATTGTGAGATGCCTATTTCATGCAGAATATAGTTAAACTCCAGCAATAACTTTTGAACTTTAAGATCACACCAAAGCAAAATTTAGAAACAAATGGTCACCCTAGCTAATACTGGGTAGAACGTTTGAACAATGTCTCAGAATTTAAAATATCTGTATAGAGTCCTTTCTAGTCATCCATACACACATAACCTAAGACAGAAACACACTTCTGGCATAACTGGAGTGTCAGTTCAGTTCATCACTCAGTCGTGTCTGACTCTCTGTGACCCCATGGACTGTAGCATGCCTGGCTTCCCTGTCCATCACCAACCCTCCTGAAGTAATTCATGTCCATCAAGTCAGTGATGCCATCCAATAATCTCATCCTCTGTTGTCCCCTTCTCCTCCTGCCCTCAATCTTTGCCAGCATTAGGGCCTTTTCCAGTGAGTCAGTTCTTCATATCAGGTGACCAAAGTATTGGAGTTTGAGCTTCAGCATCAGTCCTTCTAATGTATATTAAGGAAGTGTCACATGGAAGTAAAATATATCACTTCAATGATGTTTTCTGATTGGATGAGGATCATCCTTATTACTGCCCTTCTCCACTGTGAATGAGCTTCCCACATGGTGCTAGTGGTAAAGAGTCTGCTTGCCAATGCAGGAGACATAAGAGATCTCTGGGTTGGGAAGATCCTCTGGAGGAAATCATGGCCACACACTCCAGTATTCTTGCCTGGGAAATCCATGGACAGAGGAGCCTGGTGGGCTACAGACATGGGGTTGCAAAGAGTCAGACACAACTGAAGCAAACTAGCATGTACGCATACCACTGTTAAGAACATTTTACCATGTTCTCTAAATAAAATACACATGCAGGACAACACTTGTTGATTTCAGATAGCGTCTGTCTCTTCTTATAGGTACATCCAGGAATAAAGTATCTCAGTCAGTTCAGTCGCTCAGTCATATCTGATTCTTCACGACCCTATGGACTGCAGCATGCTAGGCCTGTCCCATCACCAACTCCTGGAGTTTACTCAAACTTATGTCCATTGAGTCGGTGATGCCATCCAACCATCTCATTCTCTGTCATCCCCTTCTCCTCCTGCCTTCAATCTTTCCCAGCATCAGGGTCTTTAAAAATGAATCAGTTCTTAGCATCAGGTGGCCAAAGTATTGGAGTTTCAGCTTCAGCATCAGTCCTTCTAATGAATATTCAGGACTGATTTCCTTTAGGATGGAATGGTTAGATCTTCTTGCAGTCCAAGGGACTCTCAAGAGACTTCTCCAACACCACAGTTCAAAAGCATCAATTCTTTGGCGCTCAGCTTTCTTTATAGTTCAACTCTCACATCCATGCATGACTATTGGAAAAACCATAGCTTTGACTAGATGGATCTTTGTTGGCAAAGTAATTTCTGCTTTTTAATATGCTGTCTAAGTTGGTATTAGCTTTCCTTCCAAGGAGCAAGCATCTTTTAATTTCATGGCTGGAGTCACCATCTGCAGTGATTTTGGAGCCCCCAAAAAATGAAGTCTGTCACTGTTTCCACTGTATCCCCATCTATTTGCCATGAAGTGATGGGACCAGATGCCATGAATGTTAGTTTTCTGAATGTTGAGCTTTAAGCCAACTTTTTCACTCTCCTCTTTCACTTTCATCAAGAGGCTCTTTAGTTCTTCTTCACTTTCTGCCATAAGGGTGGTGTCATCTGCATATCTGAGGTTATTGATATTTCTCCCGGCAATCTTGATTCCAGCTTGTGCTTCCTCCAGCCCAGCATTTCTCATGATGTACTCTGCATAGAAGTTAAATAAGCAAGGTGACAATATACAGCCTTGACGTACTCCTTTTCCTATTTGGAACCAGTCTGTTGTTCCATGTCCAGCTCTAACTGTTGCTTCCTGACCTGCATACAGGTTTTTCAAGAGGCAGGTCAGGTGGTCTGGTATTCCCATCTCTTTCAGAAGTTTCCACAGTTTATTGCGATCCACACAGTCAAAGGCTTTGGCATAGTCAGTAAAGCAGTAGAACTCTTGCTTTTTCGATGATCCAGTGGATGTGGGCAATTTGATCTCTGGTTCCTCTACCTTTTCTAAAACCAGCTTGAACACATGGAAGTTCACGATTCACGTACTGTTGAAGCCTGGCTTGGAGAATTTTGAGCATTACTTTACTAGCGTGTGAGATGAGTGCAATTGTGCGGTAGTTTGAGCATTCTTTGGGATTGCCTTTCTTAGGGATTGAAATGAAAACTGACCTTTTCCAGTTCTGTGGCCACTGCTGAGGTTCTCCAGATTTGCTGGCATGTTGAGTGCAGGATGTTAACAATAAATCTTTAGGATTTGAAATAGCTCAACTGGAATTCCATCACCTCCACTAGCTTTGTTTGTAGTGATGCTTCCTAAGGTCCACTTGACTTCACATTCCAGGATATCTGGCTCTAGGTGAGTGATCACACCATTGTGATTATACTGGGTGGTTAAGATATTTTTTGTACAGTTCTTCTCTGTACTCTTGCCACCTCTTCTTAATATCTTCTGCTTCTGTTATGTCCATACCATTTCTGTCCTTTATTGCGCCTATCTTTGCGTGAAATGTTCCCTTGGTATCTCTAATTTTCTTGAAGAGATCTCTAGTCTTTCCCATTCTGTTGTGTTCCTCTATTTCTTTGCAGTTTCTAAACATTACATTTTAAATTCCAAAAACCAAATGTGAAAATTTTCCATTTTCTTCACTCTTGAACATCAGTCCAATAAAGAAGAAGGAAAGTTTTGCCAAGGAAGTTGGTTAGATATCCAATGTTTACCATGTAGTCTCTTCAGTTCTTTCTTTTATGCAAGTTTATGTACAATCTTAACTTGTTCTTTGCCAAGGTTTTTTAGTTTTAAATCACAAAATTACTGCTTCCAAAAACTTATGACCACCTTGGTGGTGAGTGTTGATAACTGCTAAATGCTAACAGACAAATGCTGCTCCTTTCACATCTCTTCCTGCAAAAACAGAGCCCCCCTCAGACACCTGTTTCCTAATAAACACAACAGATAATGCAGCAAAATACTCAAGATTTCTTGGTTGACCTTCGAGGTTTTTTCCCTGATTTATTTTCTTTTGCACTAAGATCGCTGTGATAAACTGCTTTAATAAGAAACTTACCCACTTAGGAAAACCAGAGAGCCCAAACCATAAACCCAGCTGGAGTCAGAAGGACTATGAAGATGTCAGCAATAAGCATAATGTTCCCTTTCAGCAATAATAGATTGATCCTTCCCCCACTACCCCAAGATGGGTTTTCACATTGACTTGCTGTGCTTAACAATGTGAAAATACTCTGATCCCTGGGAATACATTTTCTGGAACACAGAAAATAAATGTGCCCAATTCTGAATTTTTGCCAATAGCTGAAATAACACAGAGTCACCAATTGCTATTTGTCAGAACCAGTAGTTAAACTGCACCCAAGAACCTAGGATATTGGTGCTGTATTCTGATTTACACAGAATTTTATCGACAGGAAGAAAACCCAGGATATGTAATATAAAATTGTGTGGGTGTTAGTTGCTCAGTTGTGTCTGACTCTTTGCAACCCCATGGACTGAAGCCCAATAGTCTCCTCTGCCCATGAGATTCTCCAGTCAAAAAGACTGGAGTGGGTTGCCATCTCCTTCTGCAGGGGATCTTCCCTACCCCAGGATCAAACCCAAGTCTCCTGCATTGCAGGCAGATCCTTTACCATATAAGCCACAAGAGAAGCCCATAATATAAAAAGAGACATGGTCAAAATTACTCTATTTCATACACTTAATATCCACGTAAAAATAAAAACTTCTAAATATTTTTGATGTAGAAAATAAAATGTATATCAAGCATTAATTTTTTTCTCTTTGAATTTTTTTTTTATTTTTAAGCATTAACTTTCAATGAGGTTTTCCTTTTTACCTCCATGATACAGTTTTTAAGATGAATTAAGTAAAACGTAAAGTGTACATATACACACCTTCATTAAATGAATGGTGACACATATATAAAGCATTTTCCTGAGAAAGTGCAAAGATGCAGAAGTTTTCATGTAGCGCTCAGACAACCTAACAAAGACAAAAGGTCCCCTGTGGGAGAGTTTGTCTTCATGCAAAAAAAACCTGGCATGAGAATAAGAATGCAACTCTTGGGGTTGGATTGGCTCCCTCTGAGCTCCCTTAAAACCCTGAAGTTTATTAGTGTCTGAATTAATTCTTCCAGTGATTCTTCCCAGAAATATGCAAACTGTTCCGGAGGGACATTTGGAGAAGTTGTGTTTATTCTTTAAAGCCATCAGCAGCATATAAAAGAGCCCTAGTTCTCAAGAAGTGACCATGAGCTAAGCAAGTAACCTGAAACAGCCAGCTTTTCCAAAACTTCACCATACCGGGCAGACATAAAATCACTAAGGTCACTAAAAGGACAGCTGATTTACACTGTAATGCTCTCAAATGAAATATTTTTCATTAAGTTAAATATTTTTCTACATTTTAGAAACCACTTCCCATAGACACAGTCTTTCTTGTATTTCTGTATTTCTACCTCCATACACATTGGTTTTCTTTGAGCATGAACTCCCAAGTTTCTCAGCATTCATTCCTGTTCTCTATCAGAGATCTTAAAACCCTGAACAAAAGCAAGTATGAAATGGGGGTGAATGCGGGTGAATCAGAGAAGACTTCAAACTCTTTCATTTAGCTGTAAGGAAATAAGAATGCAATGCAATGTTGTTTGGTATATGAATGCTCCCAACATGTTCTTAAACAGCAGAAAACATGGAATGCTCAATTTGATTGAGAATTAACAGGAAAGCATTTCAACAGAGCAAGAGAATCACAATGTTGCTGTTCCACAATAAGTAAGTTATTTTAAAGTACACCTGACATTTTAAAGGTGTACAAATTCAGATGCTTTTAGAAACTTCAGCGCCCACAAAGGCAGAGTTTAGGAAGCTGAAGGCTGTGAACTTCTCTCCTGACTTAATCCATGCTTCGTTTTGCATTCCTCACAGGTAAGCAGGCAGTGCCTAAAACAGAAGCAAAAATGTGGGTTTGTACTTTGACACTGGAAGCTCTAGTCTGAACACAATATTATCTAGAGATTTTTAAAAAAACGTAATTGATATATAGCTAATTTACAATGTTGTGTTAGTTTCCAGTGTACGCAAAGTGATTCAGTTCTCCATATACATATGTTTATACATATATTATTTTCTATTATGGTTTATTACAGGATATTGAATATAATTCCCTGGGTTATACAGTAAGACCTTGTTTATCTGTTTTCTATATAGTGGTTGTGCATCTGTTCATCCCAAACTCCCAATTTATTCTCACCTCTCTCCCCTTTGGTAAGCGTAAGTTTGTTTTCTATGTTTTTGAATCTGTTTCTGTTTTGTAAATGAATTCATTTACATCATATTTTAGATTATTTTCTAAGCTAAAGTTCTCAAGCTTGTTTTTCCCAGGAATAGTCGGAGCTGTTTCTTGGTCTCAGGCTCCTGGAATCTCATCACCAGGAGGCCAATAATGATCTTCCTGTCCAGCGTTGTCAGCGTGTTGGGCTGCCTTTCAAACAAGAATGGGGTGTTTAGAGTCAGGTGTCCCCAACAGCAGTCCTATAGTACCACGGTAGAAATAACTATCATTCACTGAGCACTCACTGAGTGTCATAAACAATCATTCCTATTCCTTACAACATCCCATAAGAAAATTCTGATCACCATTTTATACAGATGAGAAAACTGAAGATTTGAGAGTTTAAGAAACGTGTCCAAGGTCACACAGCTTAGTAAGTAAACAGAACTACTTTGGAACCTGGTGATTCTAACAGCAGAGGTAATGTGGCTAATTCTAGTCTTACTGCTAGTATCCCCTCATGAGCATCACAACTTATATTAATATTAAAGGCTCTGAGAAGTCTTGCAATTGAGAGTTCTGGTTAAACTTGTGTAATCTTGTGACAGTAGAAGCTGTGTCGGCTGATTAAGGCATTCATTAGACACTTGTACAATGCCTTGAACATAGTAGGTACTTACTAAATGTTTGATGAGCAAACAAAATAGGTAACTCAGTTAAATCATAATTATTAGTGAAGTTGACTAGCAACAACTCAAACTTTGAATTTTTTTCAACATATCAATGTTAAAAACTATTTTAATATTACAAATAGTTGAATGACCTTTCATTTACTTTTTAATAGTTACCTTTATTATAATCCCTTAACCAAACAGAGTACAAACCTATTATGCCCTGGACCAAAACCAGCTCCACGCAGCTGACCTTCAAAGGAATGGAATTTACTTTGGCACACTCCTATATATGATGCTTTTCCAAGGCCAAATCCTAAGATACCAGCAACTGTAAAAGGAGGTTAGGAAAGATAAACAACTTAAATATTTGGAATCTCCTCCATTGTCTGCTAGAACTTTCTTTATTAACAGCAATAATTCTTACATCAAAAGTACCTTACTAAATCAATGAACAAAAACTCTGGGAATGAAGCTCTCTATTAAAGAGCAGGATTGGGAACTAGAGATTTTTTGATCCCTTTAGTTTTGAACTGGAGGTAGAAGGGTCAGGTTACAGCAAGCCACGGTGATGCTCTGACACGGCAGCCAGAGGGCAGCCCAACTGGCAGACAAGTCTGTGAAGTCACCCAGGAAGGGAGAGGTGGACTTGAGTTGTGGCTTTGGGTAGCCTCCAAATCACTAGGTAGGAGACCCCTTAATTCTCTGTGTGGATGGAGTATGGGGAGCCACATTATCTTCCAGGCAGAGGAGGGAGTTCATGAGGCAAGACCATGGAAAACATTTCTAACCTGCTATTCCTGCCCGGAATGAGGTTTTGGATGGTAACCCAGAATGCATCTTCTGTAGACATAAAAGTTCTCTGCATAACCAGTGCAAGAAGGTGAAAGCCTAAGTTTATGGTAAACGTATATTAGAAAACGGGCTTCCTTGGTGGTTCAGTGGTAAAGAATCTGCCTGCCGATGTGGGAGACTTAGGTTCAATCCCTGAGTTATAAAGATCCCCTGGAGGAGGAAATAGCAACCCACTCCAGTATTCTTGCCTAAAGAATCCCATGGACAGAGGAGCCTGGTGGACCGCAGTCCATGGGGTCGCAAAAAAGTCGGACATGACTTAGCAACTAAACAACAACATTTTCAGAGAGCCCCGATTTCAAAAGCTATTCATTTATCGTGTCCATTACAGAAAATATTTGGAAAAGATTGGCCGAAATAAAAAATTAAAATCCCTTGTGGAGCTACTGTTCAGAGGCTCTGCTGACAATGTCCTCTTGTGTCTCCGGCCAGGCCCTCCTAGGCCACGCTTTAGAGAGGACTGAGGTGAAGTCCCTACTGCTCAGCTTTCTGTCAGTGTCGAATGAACTAAAATCCTGCGATATGGCAAAAACTGGAGACTAGTGTTTCAGAGAGGTTTACCTGGACATTCCTATCTCCAGTTACTATAAACACTTCCTTTTTATAAAAATGAAGCTTTGTTTTTTAACTTCTATGACTTACGTGCAACTTTAGGCAATGAACCAAATCTTGGATTCGCTGCTAAATAACCTAGGAAGTAATGTATAAATACATTATTATTTCATTTTATAACATTTAAATTAATGAAGGATAAAGAGGTCTTAATTTCACCTGCAAATTTAATTTCCCTTTGCCATGTAACCTAACACAGTCATTCATTCCAGAGAATAGGACATATTTGGGAAAGAAGTAAGGGGACATAGACTAGAAACGGTCAAAAGTCTGTATAAATAAATCCTTCACCAAAACAAAAATGCCAAATATTGTACCAAAGCCTGCCAGGAGGACCACAGAAAACTGGATTCTCTTCAGTTAAAACATTTACCAAATACCGACTCTTACTTACCATGATGGACCAGTCCTTGGGTGACAAGCATGCTTACAAGAGAAAAAGGCAGAGCTGAAAAACAAAAAAGCCCTTCAGTATTGGTATTTTGAAATTTGGCACCTCCCCTAGAGGTCAGGGAGAATTACTCTGTTTTTTTCTTCTTTGGCTGTGAGATCTTAGTCATTTGTTATTTTACTTATTTGACAATTTACTTATTTTACTTATAAACTTACAAACTTACAAACTTAAACTTTACTTATTTACTTTATTTATTTTACTTATTTACTTATTTTACTTATTTGACCCCAATTTTCTTGGGGTCTTACCCAGGCACTCAACCTAATGCACAGCATTAATAACAAAATCTAGACTCCCTGCAAGTCCATCTCCAACACCCATCATGTATCGGACTCTCATCACCACTACAACACAGGCATCTTCGCGTGTGTATGCACTGAGTTGGGGAATTCGGAAATTGCCGTTAGCTGTATATTTGGAAATTTTCAATCCTGCATAAAAGTTTAAAAAAACGACAATAAACTGCACACCCTGTTTAGGATAGTGCCCTGCTTTTGTCTTTTAATGCCATTTTGTTGTATGATTTGGATATGTTTATTTTCTGAAAATTACTACATTCGCAGTAAACATGGGCAAAGTTTAGAGATGATTTTTAAAAACAGGCACATTAGTCTAATATTATATATATATACACTATTTGATTTGGCTTAGTTGCTAGCTCTTCCTAGTAACCAAGACAAATCAAATAGCAACCAGCTTTTCCACTCAGATCTATCTACCTGATGGTAGGCAAATGGGTCATACTGTAATGTTAAACTACTAGGGGCTTAATTCACTTACTCACTCATGGGTTATCAGAAAATAATTTTTAGCAGTATAATCAGTCATCAGTAATGCATAGCAAATATCAACTTCTAAGCAGTGTTATTTCCAAAACAACTGATACTGGATTTCAATGATTTAAGAAATCAAAATGAGTATTTCAAAGTAAAATTATCTCTATGCCAGCAATATTGGGACTATATCTACAGGCTCTAGTATGACATTTTCAAATGACAAGTCATGAATTTTTAAAATTAGATGGGACTTTAATGCAGTGCCTGAATTCACACCCTTGTCTTATATAAAGCAGGCCCAGAAAGAGAAAGAGACTTGGCAGAAAAGGTTATTTCAAGACACTGTAAGGGAAGTATTAACAGGATCCTCCCACTCTTCATTCATTCCACAAATATTTAACTGGTTCACATATTTTTATATGTGAAGCACTGTGTTTGGCTCTGGGAGGGAGCAATGAATCTGAACTTGATGAAGGTTAGAGTCCAGTGGAATTGTAGAAGGTCTACTCTTTCAAGAAATTCTAAGTTAACACTCTTGGTTCACTTTCTCAGTCGCATGAAGGAAAGCGTTAGGGGTGAATCATTTTTTGCTAAGGAGGGTAAGCAGCTCCTAAATCAGATATTGTCCCTACCCTTAAAAAGGTCTCAATATGGATTTAAATTCCAAACAGCCTCAGATACCAATGTTCTTCCCAGAATTATGCAAGATTCCTGCTCAAAGAAAAAAAAATCATTACCATAATTCTAATATGATATTAGGCAGTTTATATGAGGCAGCAAATACAGTGTTAACAACGATCAAGAGGGGTGGGATTACCTCTCTTCCAGAAACTTTCTTCTTGACATTCCCGGATAATCTTTGAAATCTCTGATCTGTGGATGTGCAGTTTTGATTTTGGACAAAACAACAGACTCTGCAAGGGAAGTTACACGATGAGTTGACTGAAATCATCAGAAAAGCATCTGTTCTATTTTCCCTCGAGGAGGGCAAGGAGGTCTCTTCCCTCTGGTCTCACAGCGTGTGTGCCTTAGATCCTGGCTGCCAGCACTGAGCAATAGCCAGTTTCAGCCAGTGCTTTCCAGATGCAAGCGCTGGGTGAACTTGAGCAAGAAAAGAACTTTTCTGAGACGCAAATAGTGATCCATGGTCTAGCGAGCATGAAGCAGATATCTGGTCAGAATGCGTTACTGCTGAGGCCACATTTTCTTTTTCAAATATTTATTTAACTAGGCTGCACCAGTTCTTAGTTGTGGCATGCGGGCTCTAGTTTCCTGACCAGGGACTGAACCCTGGCCCCCTGCATTGGAAGCTCAGACTCTTAGCCACTGGACCACCAGGGAAGTCCCCACATTTTCTTCTTACTTCTAGCCTCTGCACACAGTCACTTCCCCTGCAATGCTACTCACTCCCTGGGTTGTAATCTTTTGTTGTTCAGTGACTCATTAATTTTTTATTGTGGTAAAATACTCATAATAGTTACCATTTTAACCATTTTACTTAAAATTTTTTTTTTCATACTCTGGTATACTTTATTTTTTAAAAAATTCTATATTGAAGTATAGTTGGTTTACAAAAAAGTATTTAATCATTTTAAAGTATACAATAAAAAACAATTAAAAATATATTAAAAGCTTTTTAAAAATAAAAAATATAAAAATAAAAATTATACAATAAATGGCATTAAGTATATCTATAATATTGTGCAGCCATATCTATCTAGCTCCAGAACTTTTTCATCACCGTCAAAGGAAATTCCATACCCACTGAGGAGTCTCTCCTCACTCCCTAATCACCTAGCAACCACAAATCTGCCTTTTGGATCTGACTATTCTGGATATTTTGTACAAACAATATCATACAGCATGTGACCTTGTGTGGCTAGATTCTTTTCCTCTGCATAATGTTTCAAAGGTTCATCCACGTTGTAACATGTATCTGTATTTCATTTCTTTTTATGGCTCAGTAATGTTCCAGTGTACGCACATAACACATTCTGTTTATCCATTCACCCGCTGATAGACACCTGGACTGTTTCCACTGTCGGGCTATTGTGAATAATGCTACCCGGAACATTCCTGTACAAGGTTTTGTTTTCCGCTCTGCTGGGCCAGGTTGTAACTCTGTGTTTAACTTATTGGGGAACTGCCAAACTGTTTTCCACAGGTGCTGCACCATTTTACAATCCCACCAACAATGTATGAGGTTTTCAATTTTTCTATATCCTTGTCAACACTTGTTATTTTCTGTTTTTGTTCTTTTTTTGTTGTTGTTGGTTGCACTGTGCAATTTATGGGATCTTAGTTCCCTTACCGGGGGTTGAACCCGAGTATTTCTTTTTTAAAATTAGCATATTAAATACTTTTAATATAAATTATTTAATTTGTTTAAACTAAAAAACTAAATTATTTCTATTTTTGATTGGGGTCATGCTAGTGGTTGTGAAATGGTGGTTGTGATTTGCATTTTCCTAATGATTAATGACATTAAGCATCTTTTCATCAGATTTTTGGCCATGTGTATATCTTCTTTGGAGAAATACCTATTTAAGCCCTTTGCTCATTTTTTAATTAGGTTGTCTTTCTGTTGCTGACTTGTAAGAGCTCTTTATATATTATGGATACTAAACCTTTATCAGATACATAATTCATAAATAATTTTTCCCATTCCGTGGATGATTCATTTGTTTTTTAGAAAACAAGCCTTAAAAAAAAAAAAAAGAAAAAAGAAAACAAGCCTTATTGAAAATTTTCTCAAATCACACTTATATTTCCTTGTTTGTGAATTACTTATGTAGGTCCTTTGCCTTTTATCTCTTGGAATTTAAGTGATTTTCTTGTTGAGGTGCAGGTCTATGGCTTTTGAACTTCACCCTGTTGATTTTGCAAATGTTCTTTTTGGACTTTCTGTAGTAGACATCAGTGTGAATGGTGATTACCATTTCTCACTTGCCCCCGGGCCAGGCACTGTGCCAAACACTTTACGTGCGTGATGGTGAGGTACAAGGGTCCTGTGGTGCCGATGCCTTCAGGGCTCTGCCTACCACCCGAGCAGGCAACTCCGCTCTTCTTCCCTACAGCTCCCCGCAGGGCGGCAGGTGGAAGCGGTGGTCAGGGTGAGCCACAGCAACCGACGGAGCGGCTCTTATGCTCCACTTATGTTAGCTCAGCAAACACTCCTCCTTACCCCAGTGTAAATATTTCTTCTTGGTTCTGCCTGTGGCTGTGGCAGAAATAAGCATCTCTCTCCTTCCCCTCCCCTAAACACACACACATGCAGGGTCAGGGAACCTGACGATCACAGTTGCTCTGAGTCCTGCAGTCAAGATTGAAGTACCAGCAGAGAGTGTCCCCAGGGAGCTCTGGTGAGCCTTTTCTGTAGAGCCATAAATGTTTTATGGTTCTCCATTTCACAGAGGCAACTTGGATGTCTAAAAAGGGTCCTGTGGTGCCGATGCCTTCAGGGCTCTGCCTACCACCCGAGCAGGCAACTCCGCTCTTCTTCCCTACAGCTCCCCGCAGGGCGGCAGGTGGAAGCGGTGGTCAGGGTGAGCCACAGCAACCGACGGAGCGGCTCTTATGCTCCACTTATGTTAGCTCAGCAAACACTCCTCCTTACCCCAGTGTAAATATTTCTTCTTGGTTCTGTCTGTGGCTGTGGCAGAAATAAGCATCTCTCTCCTTCCCCTCCCCTAAACACACACACATGCAGGGTCAGGGAACCTGACGATCACAGTTGCTCTGAGTCCTGCAGTCAAGATTGAAGTACCAGCAGAGAGTGTCCCCAGGGAGCTCTGGTGAGCCTTTTCTGTAGAGCCATAAATGTTTTATGGTTCTCCATTTCACAGAGGCAACTTGGATGTCTAAATTCTTTTCCTGGTGACATGATATCATTTGTCTATTTGCCTCTCCTAAACTTTGCTCTTAAATATAATCTCCATAACCCATTTTTAGCTTGAAAAATTGACCTCAGAGAACATGAACTCTATTTACCCATCACAATACCTTCTCTTTTCTTCATTCATGTGTCCCCAAGACACATAATCTTCATTCTCAACAAGCTGAAAAACTGTGCCCCAGTTAACACTTGGGTTCTCAATCTGATGACTAATTCAGTAGTTAAGGGCTCTGCCATCTCAAACAGTAACAACTGTCAGCTGCGTGTCCTTAGCATGATTAGCCTTGGTAACAGAAATGTAAAAAACGTGCATCATTGTAGCATTCTGTTAGAGTCAACAAAGAGTTTTGCTCTGCTAAAGGAAACCTCTTCAGTCACTGACAACCTACAGCAGAGTTAGTTAAGTTGAATTCTAAGCAGGGAAGAGTAAAGAAAAGATTTTGTAAATAAAAGTCTCCTTTTCAAGACAGCCAGAAACATACTTTCCTTCTCCGTTCTATTTTCCTTGAGCCTATCCTACAATTTGCCAGGCAGAGAAAAGTAAGACAGCTGATCAAGGATGAGGTTTAAGGGGAAGTCCTGTATGATATTCCTCTTCAGATGGCAGACTTCAAATTATAAGTACATACCTGCTTGCTTGGTGGTGGCAAATGGGGACCTTTTTCTTGGTTTTCATGTGTGGACACTGAAGCCATGATGAGCTTGTCTTTGCTTCTCTTCTAGTTGAGTGGACGCAGCTTCCTCGTTGACCCACTATCTAAGGAAAGGAGAAGAGAGTTACCGTGCAGTGACTGAACATTTATGTCAACCATAAAAACACCCTTAGGATCAACTCCCCTATTTGGAAAACTTACTTTCATTTTGTCATTAATCTTAACTTCCAACCACCTGCAAACTCACTTTCTAATGCGCCTTCCCCAGCAACACACACACACACACACTGATCAAGGATGAGGTTTAAGGGGAAGTCCTGTATGATATTCCTCTTCAGATGGCAGACTTCAAATTATAAGTACATACCTGCTTGCTTGGTGGTGGCAAATGGGGACCTTTTTCTTGGTTTTCATGTGTGGACACTGAAGCCATGATGACCTTGTCTTTGCTTCTCTTCTAGTTGAGTGGACGCAGCTTCCTCGTTGACCCACTATCTAAGGAAAGGAGAAGAGAGTTACCGTGCAGTGACTGAACATTTATGTCAACCATAAAAACACCCTTAGGATCAACTCCCCTATTTGGAAAACTTACTTTCATTTTGTCATTAATCTTAACTTCCAACCACCTGCAAACTCACTTTCTAATGCGCCTTCCCCAGCAACACACACACACACACACACTAACAGACCAATGGTGACAGATCAGAGGTGGAGTGAAGTGAGATGTCAAAGAAGGCACAGTGAACTGTTTTACAACCTATAGTGTTAGTCAGTTGGTCGTGTCTGACTCTTTGTGACCCCATGGACTGTGTAGCCCACCAGGCTCCCTCTGTCCATGGAATTCTCCAAGCAAGAATACTGGAGTGGAAGCTCCAGAGCACAGGCAAGGTCTTGGAAGTGAGTGCGGTAAGGGGATCACGGTAAGGGCTCCAGGGGGGTCACCGGAGCGATCTTCTATAGGGGATCTTCCCAACCCAGGGATCCAACCTTGCTTTCTTGTGTTGCAGGCAGATTCCTTATCATCTGAGCCACCAGGGAAGCCCTTAAGACTTATAAACTACCCTAAAAAAATTTCAATTCATTACTAGGTCATTAGCTTACACAAATATTTACTGAGTGTCTATTATGTGCCAGACCAAAGGATACAAAAGATAAGAGGAAATCAATACTAAAGTAACTCACAGTCTACAGGGAAGACAGGCAGTTATACAACATGTAGAAGTCTTCCCTAGAAGTAGGCACAGGGTGCTGAGGAAGGAGAGGAAAGAAGGCATGTTCGCTCTGGTTAGGTCTGAAGACACCAAAGACTAAGACTCCTGAGCTTTCAAGAAGGCCTGTGGAGAGTGGATGGACTCCAGAGGCAGGGAGACCAGATTGGAAAGTGCTATCATAATCTAGGGAATGAAGTGAAGAGCCAAGACAAGTGAAGAGCCTGAACCAAGACACTTGTGGGAAGGCTAGAGATGACAATTTTGCATCTGGAAATGTTGGATTTGGGTGCCTGTCGGGGGATACATTGGAATTAGCCATTAGGGATTAGAATATTTGAGGATTTGGGTCTAGAGTTACAGATGAAGAGTAGGCTGGAAAGATCATTTTGGAAGTTGCCATCTCGGAGATGACAGATAAAGTAGGAAACAGGAGTAAAATTGTGTAAGAAGAATACTGGAGAATGTGAACATCGAGACCAAGGGAATACCAACAGGAGGAAAAACAAAAACAGGCCAAGGAGAGGACTGAGAAAGAAGCTCTGATACAAAGAGGAAAGAGTGTCTGAGGAAGAAATGAATCATCAGTATCACGTGGCTGAGAAAAGCAGTTTGGCAACAACGGGCATAGTCCAGGTGGACCATGAAACCTGCCCAACCTCCTGCCTGTCAACGGGCCACTGCCCTCTGCAGGTCCAGACTCCATGACAACCACTGACTTCCATGCAAAACGAACATATTTTCATACACAATTCAGTTTCCTACTAAGCTGCCAGGAATATCAGCCAAGGGGATCCGTACTTGACCAAGTTTCACTTTAGGTGCTTGACGTTATTGTAGAGGGAGTATGATGCCCTAGGGTGGAAAGTCTCGGAATCAGGAAGACCTGAGCTCAGATCCTGACTACTTGGTAGCCTGGCTTTGGGGCAAGTGACTTGAAGTGTCTGTGCCGCAGCTTCTCAACTGCCAAGTGTAGGCAATGGACCTTAATGGGCTAGTACAAGGATGAGGGGTGAGGTCCACAAGTCGACAGCTCCACACCCAGCACACAGTGAGTGTGTGNAAGAGGGCACACCCGCGGGGCTGAAGATCGCCTCGCAGTCCGCGTCTCCCTCGCGCGCCCAGCCAAGCTCGCCACCCTGTGCGGCCGCGGCTGCAGCTCCGATGCTCCGGCTTCCCCGGTGCCCGCGCCCGCCCCCGGCGGCCCCCCGGAGCCCTTACCGTGGTCCCCTTACCGCGCTCGCTTCCAGGACCTCGCTGTGCTCTGGAGCTTCCCTCCGCCTCTTTCTTCCCCTCGGCTCCGCCCCCGCGGCGCCCGCCCTCGCTTCCTCGCGTGAGTCATTCAACAAGTACACCCCATCCCCCGCCTCGCAGTCCCTTTCTCTGTTGGTGGCCTCACACCCACACACAACTGCCCCGGCTGAAACCCGGCTCCTGTAGGAATCTCCGACTCCACCCCAAGTCTTGTCCAGACACCGGTAGATTCTACTGAATACTTCCTCGATTGCCTTTCAGAGAACTCCTTTCCTCCCAACAAAAACAGCGACAACCATTTATTGAACACCCTCCTTGGACCAGGCGGCTACTTCCACTTATCTGCAGGCTTGTCTTTTCTTTTGCAGTGTAATTGGCATGATGTTACATTAATTTTAGGAGCTCAACATAATGATTCAATTTTATATACGTTGCAAAATGATCACGCAGTAAATCTAGTTAACATCCCTCACTATTTGTAGTTACCAAAAAAAGTTACCCCACCCCTCCCCTTGGATGAAGATTTTTAAAATCTCCTCTTTTAGAACTTTCAAATATGCAATATATATATAATATTATTAACTATAGTCACCATGCTGTGCATTACATCCTCGTGACTTATTTTATAACTGGAATTTCCCACCTTTGATGCCCTTCGCTCATTTTGCAGATCCCTATGCAATCTTTTCTACACCTCTTTAGGGTGAATACTATTTTGTGCATTTTATGGACCAGGCAACTGAGTTGTGCAAGACCACACTGGTTGTTCAGTCTCAGTGGTGTCTGACTCTTTGCCACCCATGCACTGCAGCACACCAGGCTTCCCTGTTCTTCACCATCTCCCAGAGCTTGCTCAAACTCATGTCCAGTGAGTCGGTGATGCTATCCAACCATCTTGTCCTCTGTTGTCCCCTTCTCCTCCTGCCTTCAATCTTTCCCAGCATCAGGGTCTTTTCCAGTGAGTTGGCTCTTTGTATCAGGTGGCCACAGTATTGGAGCTTCAGCTTCAGCATCAGGCTTTCCAATGAATATTCAGAATTGACTTCCTGTAAGATTGACTGGTTTGATCTCCTTGCAGTCCAAGGGACTTTCAAGAGTCTTCTCCAACACCACAGTTTGAAAGCATCAATTCTTTGGCACTCTGCTTTCTTTATGGTCCAACTCTCACATCCATACATAACTGCTGGAAAAACCATAGCTTTGACCATACAAACCTTTGTCGGTAAAGTATTTAAGTTAAAAATAAAAGATACCTCTTTGCTACCTGTGTCACTCTCCCCAACCTCAGCTGCGATTTCTCCCTGGAACATGCCACTGGGACTCAGGGAATGTCTTGAGTTGGAAGAGAGACTGTGCATCACATGGAAGGCCCTTATCATTTCCCATCTTTTCCGACTGTCCTAATTAGTCTCTACACCTCTGGCCTCTTTTGAGCCCCTCCGCCACCCACTGGGCCTTCCTTCTGTTCCTTGTGCTCACCCATTTCTTCCCACCTGAGTGAAGCCTGGCATGGAGCCTCCCCCTGCCTGGGCTCCTCTCCCATCAGACTTGTGCTGTGTTCTCCTCATTCTTCTCTGACTCTTCCTCATGGGGATCTGCCTTGACCCTAGACACTCTAAAGTGGGTCTCCCTTTTCCTTGTTCATAGCACTGATCATGCGTTATCATGAACACTCCTGTTGGTGTGCTTACTCCTTTAAAATTTATATCCCCTGCCTCAGTGTCCTCTTCCTGAGATATGGAACAAGATGGTATTATTTTGCCCACCATTTGTATACTTAGCATCTCATATTTGAAACGGCCCAGTGAAGAGCTGCTGAATGAATGAATGAACTCAATGAACCTGAGCTCAAAGGCTGCCTGTCAGGATACTGTTTGGGATAATCTGTGTTCCTCCCAGTACACCTCCAGACCACTGTTCCTCCACGTGATTCACTGCTTTCTTTTCACTCCCACTTCCCCCCTCTAAATGAAAGGAGATACAATTCTGTTTCTAATTTTGCTTTGTGTTACCGGAAGTCAGAAATAACTCTATTTCGTGGTCTAAAAGGAAGAGCTTTCTAATCAGTTTTGTGATAAAATTGAATAGTTGTAACTATTCAATAGTTCAACTATTCACAGTGTATCTATGTTACACCAAAGTTTATCTTCCAACAAATATGCTACAGGCATTTGACCTTTTAACAGCTTGCTACAATAGAGTCTATATCCCTACCCTCATTTCTACTTTCCATCAGAATGTTCTACTTAATAGTCTGAAATAACTAGAAATTATCCATCAGATAGTAAAGAATCCACCTGCAATATGGGAGACCTGGGTTTGATCCCTGGGTTGGAAAGATCCCCTGGAGGAGGGCATGGCAACCCACTCCAATATTCTTGCCTGGAGAATCCCCATGGACAGAGGAGCCTGATAGGCTGCAGTCCATGGGGTCACAAAGAGTCGGACACGACTGAGAGATTAAGTGCAGCACCCATATGCCATGGGCATGGATTATATAAATTCATTACTTGGTACTGGTTGGACAAGTGTGAGGTGCCCCTGTATTGTTCTAGGTACTTTCAGAGATGAAAGAGAAAAGACATGGGTCCCTTCCATGAAGGACAGATCACTTCCCAAAGAATTAGGATAAAATACAATATCCACAGCCCTAGAAGTGGATAATGTGAAACAGAGCCTTTCTTTACTAAAATTTTATTTTTTTAAAAAAATTTATTGTAATATAGTTGATTTGCAGTGTGTTAGTTTCAGGGTTGTTTTTTTTTTTTAAATTCTATTGAAATATGGTTGATTTACAATGTTGTGAACAGAGCCTTTCTTAGGTCATGCCTCGGTAGCTGGTGGGGCCTCAGGATCATGATGGCAAAGTTGATTATCACTGGCTAATGCTATGGAAACTGTGGCTGATTTAGAAAGTGCAAAAACATTCATAGCAGGCTGCAGCTTGAACAATTTCCATAGCTCTGTGCTATCCCCAGGAAAGATCCCGATTCATTAGCAGGGCCCTACAGGATTCAGCCCCTGCCTGTCTCCCCAGCACAGGGCTCTTAGGCCCTTCAGGGGTCCTCCAGAGAGGCTGAGGTTCTCACTTCTCATGCTTCATGCTTTTGCATATGCTGGGGTTTCAGCTTCTGCATTCTCCACCCCTCCCTCCCCCATTTTTTAAAAAAATTGAAGTATAGATGATGTGCAGTATTTTATGTTGCAAGTGTACAAAATAGTCAGAATTTTTAAGGGTTATACTCCACTTGTGGTTATTATAAAATATTGACTCTACTCCCTGTGTTGTACAATGTGTCCTTGTAGCTTACTTTATGCATAATAGTTTGTGCCTCTTAATTCCATCTCCCCTTCCCTCTCCCCACTGGTTAACCACTAGTTTGTTCTCTATAACTGAATCTGTTTCTTTTTTGTTATATTCACTAGTTTGTTGTATTTTTTTAGATTCACAAATAAATGATATCATACAGTTTTTGTCTTTCTGTGTCTGACTTTTTTTACTTAGCATGATGTCCTCAAAGTCCACACATGTTGCAAACAGCAGAATTTTTTTTTATGGCCGAGTAGTATTCCATTGTACATATAACCACATCTTCTTTATCCCTTCATATTGATAAATGCTTAAGTTGCTTTTATGTCTTGGCAATTATAAATAATGCTACTACGAATATTGGGTACATGTATCTTTCGGAATTAGTGTTTTTCAGGGTTTTTTGGACAAGTACCCAGGAGTAGAATTGCTGGGTCACATGGTAGTTGTATTTTCAGTTTTTTGAGAAAACTCCATACTGTTTTTCACAGTGGCTGCACTAATTTACATTCCCACTAACTGTGTATGAGAGCTCCCTTTTCTCTACATCCTTGCCAACGTTCATTATTTGTGTTCTTTTTTATGATAGCCATTCTGATAGGTGTGAGGTGATACTTCATTGTGGTTTTTAACTTGAATTTCTTTGATGATATAGAGCATCTTTTCAAGTGCCTATTGTCCATCTTCATGCCTTCTTTGGAAAAATCTCTTTGGGGTCTTCTGCCCATTTTTTACTCAGGTTGTTTGCTTGTTTGATGTTGAGTTATGTGAACTGTTTATATATTTTTCATATTAAATGTTATCAGTCTTATAATTTGCAAATATTTTCTCCCATTCAGTAGGTTACCTTTTATTGATGTTGAGTTATGTGAACTGTTTATATATTTTTCATATTAAATGTTATCAGTCTTATAATTTGCAAATATTTTCTCCCATTCAGTAGGTTACCTTTTATTGATGTTGAGTTATGTGAACTGTTTATATATTTTTCATATTAAATGTTATCAGTCTTATAATTTGCAAATATTTTCTCCCATTCAGTAGGTTACCTTTTATTGATGTTGAGTTATGTGAACTGTTTATATATTTTTCATATTAAATGTTATCAGTCTTATAATTTGCAAATATTTTCTCCCATTCAGTAGGTTACCTTTTATTGATGTTGAGTTATGTGAACTGTTTATATATTTTTCATATTAAATGTTATCAGTCTTATAATTTGCAAATATTTTCTCCCATTCAGTAGGTTACCTTTTATTGATGTTGAGTTATGTGAACTGTTTATATATTTTTCATATTAAATGTTATCAGTCTTATAATTTGCAAATATTTTCTCCCATTCAGTAGGTTACCTTTTATTGATGTTGAGTTATGTGAACTGTTTATATATTTTTCATATTAAATGTTATCAGTCTTATAATTTGCAAATATTTTCTCCCATTCAGTAGGTTACCTTTTATTGATGTTGAGTTATGTGAACTGTTTATATATTTTTCATATTAAATGTTATCAGTCTTATAATTTGCAAATATTTTCTCCCATTCAGTAGGTTACCTTTTATTGATGTTGAGTTATGTGAACTGTTTATATATTTTTCATATTAAATGTTATCAGTCTTATAATTTGCAAATATTTTCTCCCATTCAGTAGGTTACCTTTTATTGATGTTGAGTTATGTGAACTGTTTATATATTTTTCATATTAAATGTTATCAGTCTTATAATTTGCAAATATTTTC